TTTTAAATATATATATATTTTTTTAGGTGGGAATTTGCAGATCTACGGGGAGTGGAGACTTCCAGGAGTTGGGAATAGCAGGTGACAGGGACCACAGAGTTTTGTGTCCCTGCGGGAGATGATCCCTAAGGAAAACCAAAACCCTTGGAGGAGAAGGGGAACTGTGAGGTGAACTGGGGTGTCCCATTGGCTCTTCCCTTTGGGAAGAGAAGGATTCAGGGAGACCTTGGCAACTCTTCCAGCACCTAAAGGCGCCCCAAGAGAGCTGGAGAGGGACTTTAGAAAAGAGCCTGGAGTGCCAGGACAAGGGGGAATGGCTTCCCACTGCCAGGGAGTGGGTTTAGATGGGATATTGGGAAGAAATTTTTCCCTGCGAGGGTGGGGAGGTGCTGGAACAGATTTCCCAGGGAAGTTGTAGCTGCCCCATGCCTGGAAATGTTTAAGGTCCCATTCCAGGACTGCCAGTGGAAGTCGATGTGGGTGAAGCCTTGGAGAAGTTTTCTGGAACTTTTCTGCAGCCTCAGGAGTTTTTCTGGGAATGAGTGGATCAAAGGCTGGAACGTCACGTGCAGGGGTTGATGGACACATCTGGGACAGGGTTTGGGAGCAATGTCACCGCGTCCCAAATGCCAGGTATGGATCACCCCAGCAGGCAGCAATGCCCCCCCAGCCTCCTGCCTGCTCCTTGTTCCAGATTCCCTAATCTAGGATGGACGCTGGGATGCTTAAAGCCAAAAAACCTGAAACCTTTCCCAGAAAACATGACTTTCCTTCTGGAATCAGTAGGGAAAGAGCCCTGTGGGAAGCAGAAACACCTGGAAGCAAAGCAAAATGTTGACTTTTGGTATTTTTATGGGGATATAAAGTTTGTCCCAGGAAGCAGCAAGTTTCTTTGGAGAGCTTTTCTCCATTGTAATCTATTTTCTTTGGAAAAAAACTAATGGATTTTTGGGGTTGGAAAAAGAATTTTGGTTCCACCAGGCTCATAAATTTTGTCCTGTGCTGGTGGGAGGGAATTTGGGAGGGTCTCGCTGATCCCCCCTGAGCATCCAGTCAGGCTTCCCACATCCAAAACTCGTCCTAGAAAATAGGAAAATTAACATTAAAATCCAAGGAATGTGTTGTATATATCTACAAAGCCAAACATTCCTGCAAAGAAAAGGTTGGAAAGCTCCACCACCCGGCCCTGCTGCCTCCTTGCATCTGCTTCAAAGCTTCACCTCCTCTGAAATCCGCTTCCAAAACAAATCCTGACATCCTACCTTGGGCTCCTGCCATCCCCAGCTGGACCTGGGTTTATTTAGGAAGGGGGAAAGCGCTTTTTCCATGGATCACCCGCTTGGAAAGTGGGGTTTTGGGGGCTGAGGGCAGTCACGGCTGTTTCTGGCTGCAAGGCTGGAACTTCAGGAATGCTGTAGGAATCTGGAAAGGCGGATTTGGGAGGAAATCCACCGTGTAGGGTGGTTTTGGCTGGGAATGTGAGCCGTGGATAATGGTGGAGGATACCCCGGCTGCCTAAAGGCTAAAGAGGGGATCCCAGAATTTCCACGGGGGCTCAAGTGTTCCTTCCTGGGGCTGGAACGAGATCCCTGGGATTGTTAGGATTGGAGTGTTGAGAGGCATGAGGCACCAGCAGGAATTAAAGGCTCTGAGGCATCAGGAATGTGATGAAGAGGCTGAATCTCATCCATGTCCATGTTTTTCCTGGAAAGCCGTGCTGCCAGATGCAGCCCTTTACAAGGCCAAGTGCACGCTTCCATCAGGGATGCAGGATGGAGGAAGGTCATGGGTGGGATGGAGGAATGCCATGTTCTTCCAGCTCCTTTTTTGGGATATGATTTGGGCCGGTTTGGAGGGGGTGTCCCATTCCCTGGTGTGTGGGAGCATGGGGAGGGCGCAGAATCCTGGAATGGTTTGGGATGGAAGGAACCTTAAGGATCATCCAGTTCCACCCCCCTGCCATGGGCAGGGACGTGTCCCACTAACCCAGGTTGTTCCAAGCCGGCCCCAGGGCTGGAAACCGCTCCTGAGCTCTGGAAGCGCGACGCTTCCAAACGCGGCCTCTCAGCTCCCTCTAGAGCCAGAGAGAAGGAAAAAACTTCCACAAGTTGCTCCACCTGCTCCTGAAATCGTCACCTGGAGGGTCCAGTCCTTTCCCAGGCAGAGAGAGAGGAGTTGGGGTGATGTCAGAATCCTGGACCTAAAAATTCCCGTTCCACCAAGAAATTCCTGCCCTGTACGCATCCGACATCCAGGAAACCTGGGGCGTCCTCCAGGTCGGCATGGGGTATCCCAATGCTCCTGGAGAAAAGGACATGGCTGTTTTCTGGGAGAAGGGAGGAATGGAGGCAGGAAGGGGCCTCTGAATCCCTCGGGATCCCCTTGTTGTGTGTGGTGGCTCCATTCCCAGCATGAGCTCCCATTTCCCATATAAATAACAGCATCTCCTTTCCCTCCAACTCCCAATGGAGATGGTCAGAGATCCCTGAATCCCTCCTGCGTGTCCTCACTGGAGAAAAACCCACAGGACTGGAGGAGGAAGAATTCCCAAAAATGGCAATAAAGGTATTTCCTATATAAGGGGGTTTATAAAGTTCCCTGTCTCAATGCAAGTTTTTCCTGGGAAGTGGGCAGGGTTATGTTATGAATACCTCATTAGGCACCAAGCTAATTGCAGGAGCGATTCCCAAACAAAGCATCCACAATTTGGGATGGAAAGGGAATCTTGGAGCATCCTGAGCATCCAACCCTTCCCAAGGCTGCAGAGGCCGGGGAGGGGTTCCCTGTCCCTCCCTCCCTCTTCCCGTGCAGGATTTTGGGAGCCTCCATTGGCAAAGCCGCCGCGTTGAGCAAGAGGGCCCTGACGAGAATTCCATGAGCGAGCTTCCCGCAGGGAGCAAAGGGCAGCGGGAGCGTGCCCCTGCCTGGCCGGCACCTGCCAGGGATTTCGGACAGCAAAGGGACCACGGCGAGGAGGAAGAGGAGGAGGAAGGCACCTGGGAATTCCTTCAGCTTCCTGGGCTCGTTCCCAGGCCATGGCGGCCACCACGGTGACCGACGCCGGCAGCGTCAGGATCATCACGGAGGTGATCCCGGCCACGGATCCCCGGGCAGCCCAGCTGGCCTCAGGCTCCCAGGCACCTGCCAGGACCTCGTTCCAAACACAAGGCTTCCGGAGGGCTCATCCCAAGGTGTTGGGGGTGAGACACGGCCTTCCAGGGGCCCAGCAGGGAGTGGGGATCCGCAGGGATTGTCCTGCTGGACGTTCCCCCTGGCTGGGTGGGGGGGACATTGTGAGAGTGCCTCTCCCAGTCCCTTCCCGGCACTGTGACGTGGGATTGGGGTGGGATGTGTCTCCCTCATCCTTCCCCAGACCATCCACATCTTCAGTGGAATTGTCCACGTCTGCTTCGGGCTCATCCTGACGCTGTCGGAGCACAGTAACCCTTCCCTCCCTGTGGCCAGCGGGATCCTCTTCTGGCTGGGGATCCTGGTAAGTTGGGACGAGGACGTGGGAATCTCAGAGAATCCTGGTGGACTGGGGACAATACCCCAGGGTCACCAGGTCTCCACTGACCATCCCCCTCCCACATTCCGGGGTGTTTGTGCATCCCTGAACCCCAATTCCCACCCAGGAAGGGTGCCAGAGAAGTCTGCCTTGCTGCTGACACCAATTCCCGCTGTTTTCCAAGTAGCTCCTGGTCTCGGGCTCGTTGCTGGTGGAAAGTGCAAGGAAAGACAGCCCTGTGCTGGTAAGATCCAGGCTGGGAGGGGCAACGTGTCCCCCCATTCCTTGTGTCCCTTCCAGCAGCTGGCGGGACCCCTCCACAGCCTGGATTCATCCCATGGGATCCACAGGCGGAAGTGCCCAGCTCTCCCACATGGAGCACAGGATGGGGGTCAGGGTCACTGTGGGATGAGGGGGATGAAAGGTCCAGGAGGCCCTCATGGCCTTGGAATCACTGTGGGATTCCAGGGATTAAAGGTCCAGGAGACCCTCATGGCTTTGGAATCACTGTGGGATGAGGGGGACAAAAGCGGGCAGCTTCTCCAGGAGCTCTCTGGTCCCAGCTGAATGCTCCGCGTGGGAAGCGGCCCTTCCCGGGTCCGTGTCACGGGGTGCTTCCCGCAGGTCAAGGCCTGCTGTGTGGTCAGCGTGGGCGTCGTCCTGGGCACGCTGGTGGCCACCGGGATCCACGGCACGGCCATCACCCGCATCGTGCCCGGCTGCGAGCCGCCCGGGCCCTTCCAGCGCCGCCCGGAATGGTGCCTCAACGCGGAGAGCAAGGTGCGACAGCCGCGGGTGAATCCCGGCCTCCCTGCGCGGTGTTCAGGGATCCAGGTCCTCGTTCGGAGGTGCTGGATCCCGGGATATCCCCGCTCTCCTCCTCCTCCTCCTCGCAGCTGCTGAGCGACAGCCTGGATTCCATCCTGGTGATCCTCGCCCTCCTGGAATTCTGCGTGGCCGTGGCGGTTCTGGCGTTTGGATACGACACGGTCCGGCAGCACACATACACCCAGCTGGTGAGGGAGGGCATCCCTGGGATTCCCTGGAATGCTGAACCACCCCTTCCTTCCTGGCGCCCCAGTCCGGGCGTTCCCGCGTCCCTCCCTGAGATTTTCCCTGTTTTTGCTTTCCCAGGCGCTGTAGCCGCGGCCCAGCCCCGCACGTCCCCGCTACCGGAGCCCCCCGGGATGCCCTCAGCATGTTCGCTCCCCAATAAAGGCCTCTCCCCCAGCCCAGCCCGCGCGTGTCTCCGGGGGTGGCTCGGGGTGCGGGGGGGCTCGCCCCGGGTGTGTTTGCGGGAGTTCGGCGGGTCCCGGTACCGGCGGCCACGGTGCTGCCCGGCACAAAGATGGCGACCATGCCCCACACAAACATGGCGGCCGCCGCCGTGCGCTGAGGGTGTTGCCCAATACAAAAATGGCGGCCAGGGAGGCGCTCTGGCTTCGCGCTCCTGAGGGGATCGCGGCTCTGACGTCATCTCTCCGCGACGCCGCGGAGCCGCGTGGATCATGGAGGGGGAGAACGGGGGGAGCCCGGGACCGGGACCGGGAGCGACCCCCGAGGGGCCCAGCGGGGCCGCCGCGGCTCCGGCCGCGCCTCGGCGGCGGCGGAAAGGCGGCAAGAAGCGGCAGGAGGCGGTGGTGGCCATCCCGCGGGGCAAGCCCAAGTCGGGACGCGTGTGGAAGGATCCCGGGAAGAAGAGGTGGGAAGGGAGGCGGGCACTGGGGGGGCAGTTCCTGGGGGCTCCGGGCTCCAGAAGGGCTCCCTGGGGGGTCATGAGGTCTGGGGGGATTTTGAGGGGGACAGGATTGTTTGTGGGGGGCTTGTGAGGGCGTTCCGGAGGTATCCATGGCCTTTAGGAAGGATCCAGAGGTGACAGGGATGACTTGGAGGGGATGCTGAGGATGCCGTGGGACGCTCCGAGGTTGGCGGAGTTTCGTGGAATTCTGGAGGGGAGCTGGAGTGGCCCCGGCTGCAGCCCGGGGTTTTGGGGGATCCAGCCCCTCTGGTGTGGCCACGCAGGTTCTCCCACATGATCCAGGACAAGGCGCTGCGCAGCTCCTGGGCACGGAAAATGAAGGAGAGGCAGGAGAGGAAGCTGGTCCGGGATCTGGCACGGCAGCTGGAGGAAGCCAAGCAGAAGGAGAAGGAGGTAACGGGGCTCAGGAGCTGGAGAATTCCCGTCTTTCCCGAGCACAATCCCATGTCTCTGCCCTATTCCTGGCCTCAGAGCCCAGGAAAAGGGCAGCTGGGCTGGAGAATTCCCTGTCCTGGTGCCAAATCCACTCACTGACGGTCACATGCCCCAAGTCACTGACTCGGAATAAACTCCCTGGGTCAATTCCAGCCTCACCCGGGGTGGAAAAGCTGCTGGAATGACAGATTCCACACTTGGCTGGGCAGGGGCTGCTTTGGGTTTAATCCCAGGGGAAGGGATCCGCAGGGAATGTTGTGCTGCTGCTCCCACAGGAAAAGAAGCGGCGGCGGGAGGAAAACCTGAAGCGGCGCCTGGAAAACGAGCGGAAAGCCGAGGTTGTCCAAGTGGTGAGTGCCCTGTGCCAGCTGGGAACGGCCCTGCGGGCACCCCACAACCTCCAGCCCCATGGATCAGCCTCCAGTTTGCTCCAGTCCTCTCCCTGTCTCCATCTTTGGAGGATCCTGGGAGATTCCCAGCAAAACCGGGCAGGCTGGAATCGTGTCCCCTGTGTTCTCCCAGGCTGGGGAACCCCAGAACTGAGGGATAATGGGGTGGTGGAGCAAGGAAAATGTGGCACTGGAGGGGGTCCATGTGGGGAAATCCTGGCTTTTCCATCGGGAAGAGACCTGGGAGCTCGGGGTGGGTGAGGTGAAGAGCTCACCTGTGGGTGAGGATGGGGTTGGTGTTGGGATAAATCCCTTCCTAGATCCTGAGGGTGGTGGGAGGCTGGGAGCCATCCATGCCCATCCTGCCTCGTGCCCACACTCTGCTCCATTCCTGGAAATGCTCCTGGACAGAGCTTGGAGCAACCTGCACCAGTGGAAAGTGTCCCTGCACCAGTGGAAAATGTCCCTGCCCATGGCCGGGGTGGGAACTGGATCATCCCTAAGGTTCCTTCCAACCCAAACCATTCCAGGCTCCTGTGGTTCCATGAAATCTCCTCTCTTTTCCCATTTCCCAGATCCGGAACCCCCTGAAGCTCAGGAGGGCCAGGAAGAAGCAGCTGAGGCGGGTGGAGAAGCGGGACACGCTGGCCCTGCTCCAGAAGACGCCCGTGAGGCGCAGCACGGAGTGAGGCAGGATTTGGGATGCTGCCACGAGGATCCCGCTGCTTCCCGGGGGATTTTCCTCAGCTGCCACGACCCTCAGTGTTGGACAAACAGCAGGACAGAGCTGAGGGGGTGCATTCCTCAGGCACCAGCTGCTGGATCCCCCAATCCCTGTGGAATCAGGATGTGGCCGGTGCCAGAGGCCAGAACAGAACTTTGCTTTCCCAAATTTGCCTTTTTCTTATAAAAATGACTAGGAACTGAGACAGATTCGCCTCCAGTGGCTCTGGGGACTGAGGGCTCCAGCTGGGGCCTTCCCTAAGGCATTCCTAGGGTTGGAGTGTGCCATGGCCCCTCATTCCTTGCAGTTGCCCTTTCCCCAAAGAGGGAATTCCCGTTGGGAATGAGCCCTGGAACCTGTCCGCAAGGAAGGGGGCACAGTGTCACACACCCTCCTGTGGGGGGCAACACTGGGAATTCGGCAGGGGCTGGAAGCTGGAAATCCACATGGATTTATTAACATTCCTGGTTTTTCTTGGTCCGTGGACACCCCTTTCTGCATTCCTGGGGAGGGATGTGGCTGTGAGCTGGGATGGGGGCACAAAGGGGTGCACTGGGTAGAAAATGGCACTGCAGGAATCCGTGTGAAGCCCTGGGATGGGAATACGGCCCTGGAGCTTCATCCTGGGGTGACAGTTTTGGGGGGGGCCCTGAATTGGAGTGGGGTGTGTCCCACCCGTGCCCAGGGTGGGGGTGGTGCCACAGGGAAAGCGGGGACTAGCAGGAATTTCGGGGTGTGGCCGCTGCCAGGCAGGCACGGGGTCACAGGGCAGGAGGGCTCTGCCCTCGCCCTTCCCGGGTTAATGATTTCCAAGGAATCTCCCTGTGCAGAGCCCACGGCCCAGCTTTGCCCGGCGGGGTAAGAGAAGGGGAAGCAGCTGGGGCCCCTGGGGGCCGACTTCCCGGTGGGACGGGTGTGGGAGAGCCACGTGTCTCCTGCCGGGCTGGACGGGGGCCAACATCCCTGTTCCCAGGCTGCCGTGCGGGGTGCACGCAGGACGGGGGGCTCGGAGGGAGCCCCTGGATCCCTGCCCTGCTCCAGCTCCAGGGTGGGAGGAGGAGAAGGAGGGGGGACAGGGGGTGCTGGGAATGGCGGGGCTGGGAGGCAAAGGGGTGTCCTGGCTGCCGGGTGAGTTTTGGAGCAGGGTTTGGGGGTCAGAGGGTGGGAGGTGCTGAGGAAGGGAGGGGATGGGGACAGGGAAGCAGAGGATGGGGATTGGGGAAGGAGGAGGGGACAGGAACCAGGAAAGAAGGGACAGGGACCACGAGGGGATGGGGACATGGGAAAGAGGGATAGGGACAGGGAAGGAGGGATGCCAGCAGAACTGTCTGGACCACAAACCCATCCTGAGGGTCCCCCGTGGGGATCCCTGGGAACAGGCCCCCGCCACCAGCCCCCTCCTGGGCGTGGCAATCCCTGTGGGACGCTCAGGGTGATTCCCATCCCCAGGTGCACCATGGTGGAGGTGACAGTGACGCCGCAGTCCTCGCTGGCCGACCGGCCGGTGCAGATCCGCGTGCGGGGACTGTCCCCATCCCAACTCGTCACCCTGCGGGCATGGCTGAAGGACGAGCAGGGCGAGTGCTTCCAATCCCGCGCCTTCTTCCGCGCCGACGAAGCGGGAGAGGTGGATCCCGGGCTCCATGCCGCCCTGGGGGGCAGCTACTCCGGGGTCTGGCCCATGGGGCTCTTGTGGTTCCTGCAGCCCGACACCCTTTTCCGCCGGCTGGTCAAGCGGGATGTGGCCGGCAGCCCCTTCCGCGTGCGGCTGGAGGTGCTGGACGGGCTCAGCCTGGGCACGGACCCGCGGGAGCAGCCGCTGGGCTCCTGCGAGGCCGAGCGCTGGTACGTGGGCCCTGGCGTGCAGCGGGTGCCCGTCCGTGAGGGAAGGGTCCGTGGCGCCCTGTTCCTGCCTCCTGGTGAGCACTGGGGAGCGGGGAATTCGGGGATATCAAACTTGGGAGTGGCAGGGGGCTTGTTCTTGGGAGCCCTTCGGTGCCCAGCCTTGCTGGGATATCCAGCTAGAATTCCCTTGGGAGCCCTGCGTACTGACACTGAACCTTGGGATCCTGGGGATGCCAAACATTGGGACCCCTGGGAAACAACACTGGGACTCCTGGGATGCTAAACCATAAGATTCCTGAGTTGTCCAGCCCTGGAACACTGGGGATAACAAACCACGGGACCCCTGGGATGCCCAAAGTTGGGATTCCTCGGTTGTCCAGCCTTGTGATCCTTGAGATATCAAACCTTAGGATCTTGGGACCCCCAGGCCACTGGACCTCATGCTCCTTGGGATGTCCAGCCATGGAACCTCTGGGATGCAGGACAGCATGGGTGGCTCCCTATCCCTGACATTCTTCCTGTTTTCCCACAGGTCCGGGCCCCTTCCCCGGAGTCATCGACCTGTTTGGGGGTGCGGGGGGGCTGATTGAGTTCCGGGCAGGGCTCTTGGCCAGCCGGGGCTTTGCCGTGCTGGCCCTCGCCTTCTTCGCCTACGACGACCTGCCCCGAGTCCTGGCCCAGCTGGACCTGGAATACTTCGAGGAAGCGGCAGAGCTGCTCCTCCGGCATCCCAAGGTGAGTCCTGGAGTGTGGAGAAAGGCACCTGTCAGCCAGGATGTGCTGGGGACTGGGGGAAACCTGGTGAGATGGACATCCAGGTGACCAGGGATTGCCCTGGGGACCAGGAATGTCCTGGAGCCATCCTCATCCTGGTGAGCAGGATGTCCAGGTGGCCAGGGGTAATGTCCCAGGGTTGTCCCGACACCAGGAGTGTCCCAGGGACTGGGGGGTATCCCACGAGGACATCCTTGTCCTTGGCACCCACGGATGTCCCAGTAAATGTATTATTCCTGTGTATTATCCCAGCTGGCTCCATTTCCTCTTGCTTCAGGTCCGAGGCCCCGGCCTGGGCGTGGTGGGAGTCTCCAAAGGTGCGGAGGTGGCCTTGGCCATGGCCACCTTCCTGCCACAGGTGGTGGCCACGGTGTGGATCAACGGGACGAGCTTCCTGTACGGAAACCCGCTGGTCTATAAGGAGCTGCGGATCCCTGCCATTCCCTACTACACCGAGCGCGTCCTCTTCACCGAGGTGGGAGCCATGGACAACTCGGCCATCTTCACGGACCCCCGGGAGCCCGCCCGCCAGGCCTCGGCCATCCCGGTGGAGAAGATCCGGGGCAAGGTACTGTTTGTGGTGGGAGAGGCCGACCGCAGCTTCAACAGCAAGCTCTTCGCCGAGCTGGCCCTGGCGCGGATGCCGCCGGAGAGCGGCCGCATCCTGTCCTATCCCGGCGCCGGGCACCTGATCGAGCCCCCCGGGTCCCCCCTGTGCAGCAACTCCAGCATCCGGGGCACTCCCAAGCCGGTGGCATGGGGGGGAGAGCCCCAGCCCCATGCCCGGGCCCAGGAACACTCCTGGCAGGAGATCCTGCAGTTCTTGGAGCTCCATCTGGGGTCGGTTGCTGCCATGAAGCTGTGAGGGGTGGGGAGAAGGGGTTGTGGTCACTGGGATTGTCATTGTGGGGAATAAAGTGTCACTGGTGGCTCCTGCCTCTGCTCCTGGGGGATGATGTGGGGGACACGGATTTAGGAGGTTTATTGGAGATATTTGGGAGATACATCAGATATATATTGGATACATATGGGACATACGTCAGATACATAGAGAATGTATATTGGACATGTGGGATAGATCTATTGGATATAGATCAGATACATATTGGACATATATATGGGATATACACTGGACACATATGGAACATATATAGGATACAGAACAGACAGCTCAGACATATTGTACATATTCAGCACATATATAAAATAGATATTAGACATCAAGATATATATGTATATAGGACATATATGGGGCACATATAGAACATAGATTGGCCATATATCAGCCCAGCTGTGGTTCTGGGGTCACACTGCTCTCTCTGCAGTTGCCCTCACTTCCAGAGGAGGTTTGAGGGAATCACATCCAGCCCCCGGCTCCTTACGCCCTCCAGCTGGGATCCCTGTGCTCCTGGGAGCTGGCATGACCCCATTCCCACACCCAGGGCAGGGGACAGGGAGTGGCCGTGACCGTCACTCCGGGAGGGGTGGGGAGGGGTGATGCAGTTTAATCTGCAGTAGAGATAAATCCCAGAAGGGAAACTTGGGGAAAGGTAGGCACAGGGAATGCACATGGAGGACTTTGGATTCCTGGTGGTACTGTCAACAGGGCACAACAACCAGCAGAGATTTGGGGTAACAGGCTGATTTCCAATCCCTCAGATGCCACTGGGGCCATGCCACTGTGTCCCCTGGTCCCGTGGCTATTCCAGGAGTGGCATGTCTAGATGTCACCGCTGTCCCCAGTAGCTCTGGGGAGGTGGGCACACACCAGCCTTCTCCTTTCCCCCTGGATAACTTGATCCAGCTGGGCATTCAGCTGGGCATCCCGCCTGGCACCAGTTCCATTCTCTGTTCACTGGGACAGCCTCCAAGTGTGGGATAAGCTTGGTTTGTCCCTGGTCACCGTGACACAGCCACAGGAGGTGACCACAGGGTTGGGGCACTGAGGTCACCAGCAGCACGGGAGCGAGGAGCCCTGGGCAGAGCTCATCCCACGGGATCAGCTGATCCTGATCCCCCCCCGCATCCCAGCCACCTGGATATAAATCCACCCCGCGGAGCCCCGTGCTCCGTCTGTGTCACTGCCATGGGACGGAGCTGCTCCTTCCTCCTGCTCCTCTTCCTCCTGTCCTCGTGGCCCAGAGCCACCGTGGCACTGCTGCAGTACCGCCACGACTGCGGGGAGTTGGGAATGCAGCTCCTGGTCTTCCCGTCCCACGGCCGCACCGTCCGCTTCAAGGTTCTGGGTGAGTGGGGGGACACCCTGGATCCCCCTGGGGTGCTGGATTTCTCTGGGATTCCCCTCAGTCCTGGAGTGTTCTGTGGTGATGGTATCCCAATGGGATGAGCCCATTGGCTTGGATGAGCTGCTGCTGCTGGCTGGGGGGTTTCCATGCACCAGGATGTGTCACTTCCCCATGTCCATGGTGTCCCCCCAGACGAGTTTGGCTCCCGCTTTGACGTGGCCAACTGCTCCATCTGCCTCCACTGGCTGAATTCCAGGGAGGACGGCTCTGTCATCTTCTCCTCTGGCTACAAGGGTTGCCACGTCCTGTTCAAGGTGACGCTCCTGTCCCCTCCGCGGTCCCCTCCAGCAGGATGGGGGTGACTGTCCCTCGTGTCCCCCCTCAGGAGAACCGCTACGTCCTGCGGGTGCAGCTGGAGGAGCTGCTGTCCAGCGGGATCCCCGTCACCTCCTACGAGGTCAACATGACCTGCCCCAAGCCAGATGGCTCTGAGATGCTCCCAGATGGAACCCGGGAGAAGACCCGGGACAGTGGAGTCCTGATCTCCCACACCGGCCTGCACCAGCTCTCCGAGTCCTCCCTCACCCTCACGGGATCCCACTTCACATCCCAAGATCACCTGGAGCAGGTTCACACCGTGGGACAGTACCAGCCCAGCTCAGTGCTTCCTGGGATCCAGCACCATTCCAGTCCAGCCCACTCGGGGCTTCTGTCCCAGCCTGGTGGGGTTCATCCTGTCACCCAAATCCAGGGAAGCTTCTTCCGCCCAGCAGTGCAGCCCTCCCAGTCTGGGGGGCAGAGCCAGCCAGGGATGCTTCGCCCAGTGCTTGTGTCCCAAAACCATCCCAGTTTGGCTCATCACGGGGGTCAGACCCAACCGGGGCACCTGCGGCCAGGGTCTGTATCCCAAAACCAGCCTGGGATGATGCATTCCGTCGGTCAAAACCAACCAGGGATTCGTCCAGGGTCTGTATCCCAAAATCAGCCCGGGATGATGCATCATGGGGGTCAAAACCAACCAGGGCAACTTCGTCCAGGGTCTGTATCTCACAACCAACCTGGGTTGATGCATTCCGTGGGTCAAAACCAACCGGGGCAACTTCGTCCAGGGTCTGTATCCCAAAATCAGCCTGGGATGATGCATCATGGGGGTCAAAACCAACCGGGGCAACTTCGTCCAGGGTCTGTATCCCACAACCAGCCTGGGATTGCGTATTCTGTGGGTCAAAACCAACCAGGGATTCGCCCAGGTTCTATATCTCAAAACCAGCCCGGGATGATGCATTCTGTAGGTCAAAACCGACCAGGAATTCGCCCAGGTTCTGTATCCCACAACCAGGCTGGGATGATCCATTCCGTGGGTCAAAACCAGCCAGGGATTCGTCCAGGGTCTCTATCCCACAACCAGCCTGGGATGGCGTATTCTGTGGGTCAAAACCAACCGGGGCAACTTCGTCCAGGGTCTGTATCCCACAACCAGCCTGGGATGATGCATTCTGTAGGTCAAAACCGACCAGGGATTCGCCCAGGTTCTGTATCCCACAACCAGCCTGGGATGATGCATTCCGTGGGTCAAAACCAGCCAGGGATTCGTCCAGTTTCTGTATCCCACAACCAGCCCGGGATGATGCATTCTGTAGGTCAAAACCAACCGGGGCAACTTCGCCCAGGGTCTGTATCCCACAACCAGCCTGGCTTGACCTCCACTGGTGCCCAGACTCCAGCAGGATTCCTGCGCCCGGGAGCTCAGCCCCTAAACCAGCCGGGAGTATCTCGTCCCAGTCAGCACTCCAACTCCCACACTGGGCTCCTAGGCCACACTGGGCTGCTCCATCCTGGCCATCCCAGCCCGGCTTTGGTGCACCCAGGACTCTCATCCTGGCCGGGTTTCATCAGCCCTGGACTCCAGGCTGAGCCCCAGCCAGGCCTGGGACGCCCTGGGCTGCGGCCCCAGCCTGGATTGCTGCATCCTGGGATTCACTCCCAGCCCAGCCTGCTGCAGTCCACAGCGCTCTTCTACCCCTCGCCAGGGGCAGGTAAGGCAGGAAGACAGGATGCTGGGACAAAGAGAAAAGCCTCAAGGTGCTTTTTCAACCCACATTGCTGCTGTGCCCCTCTCTGCTTGCCCCCAGGAATGCAGCTGACGCGGGAGCAGTGCCAGGTGCCGGCGGGCCGGGTGCCGTGCGTGGCTCCACAGGGGCGGGATGCATGCGTGCAGGCGGGATGCTGCTACGACGACATGGACCGTACCACACCCTGCTACTACGGGAATACCGGTAGGACACCCGGAGGCACGCCCCAAAATCCCTCCCCGGTGCCAGGAGAGGGTGTTCAGAGTGATGGAGCCTCTCCGTGGTATCGCAGCCACCGTGCAGTGCCTGCTGGAGGGACACTTTGTCCTGGTGGTCCCGCGGGGAATGGTGGCCCTGCCGTACAACCTGGACAGCGTGCGGCTGGCCAGCAGCCAGGCGGGGTGTGAGCCCCGCCACGTGTCCGAGGCCTTCGTCATGTTCCGCTTCCCGGTCACCCACTGCGGCACCACCGTCCAGGTAGGGCGGGAAAACCCCGGAGAACCCCAGGTGGGCATGGGGGGTCACCTCAGGATGGAAGTGCCCCCAGAATGCTCCCAGTCCCTCCAAAACTTCAGGGTAAAGAACTCACCCACGTGTTGCCTCCTGCCTCAAATCCTGACCCGTGCATCCCCCAGGATGTTTCCCATGCCAGTGTTCCCTACACAGGCGATCGAGGACATGCTGATCTATGAGAACCAGCTGATCTCCACCATCGATGTCCAGGGATCCCCCCGTGGCTCCATCACTCGGGACAGTGTCTACATGTAAGGGAGAGGGTGGAAAAATCGAGGCAGAGAGCCTGGATTCCCCCTTGGATCAAACCAGCCCTCACCCCTGCCACGTCCCTGGTGGTGTCCCCACAACTTGGGCTGAGGGAGCTGATAGAGGATTTGGGAGTCTCCCATCTTTCTCTCCCTCTTTTCCCCAGTCTCCGAGCTCGGTGCATCTACAACGCCAGCGACCTCCTTCCCTTGGGAGTGGAGGTGGCCGTGCCCCCCACAGCCGCCCCCCTGGCCATGCCGGGCCCGCTGGGGCTCCAGCTGCGGATTGCCACCGGTGAGTGCTCCCTATCCCGCTCCCTATCCCGCTCCCCATCCCACTCAACCCCTCCCAACATTCCCACAGACGAATCCTACAGCTCCTACCACGCTGTGGGTGACTTCCCCCTGGTGAGGGTGCTCCGGGACCCCATTTACGTGGAAGTCCGGCTGCTCCAGAAGACGGATCCCAATTTGGTGCTGGTGCTGCACCACTGCTGGGCCTCCCCTGGCTCCCATGCCACATCCCAGCCCCAGTGGCCCATCCTGGTGGAAGGGTGAGCAGAAAAGGATGGGAAGATGGAAGTGAGGGGGCCACTGTGCTGACACAGCGTCCTTGCTTCCCACCCAGGTGTCCCTTCCAAGGGGACAACTACAGGACACGGCTGATTCCGATGGGCCCGGCCTCTCCGGAGCTGCCCTTCCCCAGCCACTACCAGCGCTTTGTCATCTCCACCTTCGCCTTTGTGGAGCCCCCTGGAATGGCTGTGCTGGAGGGGGAGGTGAGGGGGACTCCCCTGAATCTGTGTTGGGAATGCCTCAGTGTTGGGAATCTCTCATCCCAACATCCCCAACCCCACCCCAGCACTGACCCTGCTTCCAGCTGCCCACAGTCTCTTCCTGTTGGGAAGCTCACGCTGCTTTTGGGGGGTTCCTCATGGCTTGGGGATGCTTTTTGGGAGCCTCTTGAGGCTTGGAGACTCTTTTTTGGGGATGCCCAGGTGACGCTGGCATTCCTATGGCTCCCAGGTGTACATCTCCTGCAGCGCCTCCGTGTGCCACCTGGCCCAGCCGGAGCCCTGCCGGCCCTCCTGCCAGCTGGCAGTGCCCTCACGTGAGTCTGGGAGCCTCCAGGCATTTGGGAAGACGTCTACACGTTCCCCTCTTCCCAAGCCAACCTGCTGTTCCCCACAGGAGCGCGGAGGTCTCCGGAAGACAGGAGGACAGGTGACAGCATGGGGACAGTCACATCCCAGGGATGCCTTGTCTTTCCTGAGGTTTCCAAGAGAGGGGGAGCTCAGCAGAGAGGCTGAGGAGTGAGTGCCTTCTGCTCCCCAAAAACCCCTTCATCCCAAACACCCCTTCATCCCTCTAAGTTATCTACTCCCCCTCTTCCTCCTCACAGCCTCTACCCGAATGCTGTTGGATGTCTCTGGGAAAGCTGGAAAAATAAAACCAGTGCAAAGCATGGCTCTAAGGGTGGTTTGTCCTTGAGAGGCGAGGAAAGAGGACCCTTCATCCCCATTCCCAAACTGGCAGCAGCCACATATCCCCCAAATCCCACCCTGCTACACCCCCACCCTTCACAGGAGCCTTTTCCAGCTGGGATGACAGGGAATAATTCTTTATTTCCATACTGAAACTAAGTAACTGCTTACAAAACTGCACAGTCCTCCCTTCCCTCCCTCCTTCCACACATCCCGGCCTCAAACTTCCACCAGCACCGGGATCAGGGTTTTTTGTCAAACCAGTTACACAAAACAATCTAAAGGCGGAAAATACACAGCATTGGGGGAAAAACTAAACAATAAATTCATGGAGCACGGGGAAGGCAATGTCTGACTTCCCTTACACCAACAGCTACAACAGGGGAGCTTGATAATCCCACCTGGATAATCCCACCTGGATATTCCCACCCACCTCCCACCCCGAATCCCGAAAAATCCCAGCCCCACTTCCAGGGCTACAGGCTGTAGAACTTGAGGCTCCGATCCATGCCTGTGGAAGCGATGAACTTGGCGTGGTGGCCAAAGGCCACTCCTGTGGTCAGACCACTGTGCTCTGGGGACAGAAAACAATCCAAGGTCACAATTCCGAGTGGGTTTGTCCCATTCCCGCCCCAGCCACTTCCATGATTCCCAGAATCCCTCACCTGTGAAGTGGAGGATCTCCGTCCACTGCTTGCAGATGTAGATCTGGACGTCGGTCCCGCCCAGCGCCAGATAGGTCCCGCTCTGGTCGAAAATCAGGGATTTCACCTGTGGAGAAGAATCACAACAAGGTGTTGAAAAGGTTCCAAGTGGCTTTTCTGGGATGCCACAACCCCCGGAGCAGAGAGGCCGTGGGGGAAAAGGGACACCACACACCTCGAAGTTGTTATCCAGCTGCAACGTCTTGAAGTTCTTGAGCTTCCTCAAATCCCAGAGCTTGACCGAGGAGTCGTCGGCGGCCGTGGCCAGGTAGTAGCCGTTCTCGGAAAAGGCGATGCTGGTGATGGGGCCGGAGTGTCCCGGGAAGTTGGCCACGTTGGTGCGTTCCTGGGGACAGGGTGGTCAGAGGGAACCACAGTGCTGGGATGTGGCACCGTTCCCAACTGACCTGCGCGGTCACGGAGGCACCAGCGGCTGCTCGAGATGGGATCTCAGGATTTTTGGAGAAACCTCCAAAAACATTCCTCAAAGTCCTGCTCCTTGGACTGATCCCCAAACCAAGCTCAGAACACCCCTAAATCCCTGTTCCCACACATTCTCATCAGCCCTTACCTTCAGATCCCAGATCTTGATTTGGGAATCCATTGTTCCCGTCCCAAAAATGAGCCCATCCGGGTGGAACTGGGCACAGGTGAGAGCTGTGGAGACAGCAGGAGAATCAGACACTTGGGAAGACTCCCAAGAGGGCTGGGAAGACTCTCAAGAGGGTTGGGAAGATTAGGAAGGTTGGGAAGGTTCAAGAGGGTTGGGGAGACTCAGAGGGTTGGGAAGACACAGGGAGCTGGGAATATTTTGAGAGCTGGGAACACTCAAGAAGGCTGATGAGATTGGAAGGGTTGGGAAGACTCGGGAAGGTTGGGAAGGCTACCAAGACCCCTCCAAAGGAGCTCCCGTGAACTTCAGGAGCCAAGGGATGCCCAGAGAGGGGAAAATCAACTCCAAAGCTTACCACATCCAGAGCTCTCATCCGTCACCTTGGTGAGGACACGGCCCGTCTGGATATCCGAGAAAGCCCAGTACTGGGAGAGAGGAAGAGCGTTGGAACAGGAGGGCTGGGGAGCAAAGGTGGGAGCTGCGGGATGGGCAGGGATTCACCTGGTCATCCGAGGAGCTGAGCAGGTAATCACCCGTGGCGTGCAGGCTGAGCCCGGTCACGGAGCCCTCGTGGGCACGGACCACCTGGACACAGGAGGCGTTGGGAACGGACCAGATCCGGATCGTGGCGTCGGGAGAGGCCGAGAACACCAACTCCTACGCAAGGACAGCACCAGAAGGTTCACACGGGAAGAACTCGCCTCTCCGAGAGCTCCCAGCAGGAGATTCCAGCAGGGGAGGGTCCTGACATCGAGACTGAGGCAGCCTGGAAGCGAGCGGAGCGCCAGACGCACCTGGGACGGGTGGAAGACGACGCTGGTGACTTTCTTGGTGTGGCCCTTGAGCGTGGCCAGGATCTGCTCCGAGCTCTTGTCGAACACAATGACGTTTTTGTCGGCTCCACCTGGAAAACCGAGCGGGAAGCGCTGGGATGGGAGCGTGGGGCCAACCAGCTCCAAATCCGCCCGCCTTACGCCCCTTCTCCTCCTTCAAATTCCCAAAAACACAGAGAAAGAGATCCACTCTCAAGTGGGAAATCCCCAGGAAAGCTCCCTTACCAGTGAGGATCTTGTTGGTGTCGGAAGGACACAGATCCAAGGCAAGAATTCCTGGGATGCTGGCGCTGTGCAGCCCCTGTGTGAGGGAGGAGAACCCCAAGTTAATGCCACAAGGAGCAAAACCTTCCCAAAAAGAATGAAAAAGTGATTCCCAGCTCCATGTGGGAGTTTCCCAGTCCTTTCCACTCACCACATGTGAGGCCACCTGCCGGTACTTGCTGAGCTCCTCCGGCTTCACCAGCTCCTCCGGGACCGTCTTGCCCCTCTGGGAAAAAACAGGGATAACCATCAGCCTTGGCTGGAGCACAGCACATCCCAGCTCCCTCCAAATCCTTGGATAAGGCCACTCACCTTCTTACGCTCCGTGGTCAGCACCGTGGCCTTGTCTTGGAGCTGGAAAACAGGAGGAGGGTGAGCACAGACCAGGAATTCTGCGATGGGGAGAGGGGAACACAGGGAACACTGCCCCTACCTTCTGGATGATCTCCGGGGTCATTCCTGCCAGCTCTCCCAGATCCATGGCCTCGCCAGCGCCCTGCGTGGCACAGAGAGAAGGGACGTGCAGAGAGGGAATTTGGGAGCAGTGAGTGGGAAAGGGGGTGGGAACGAGCGGGAAAAGGGCCGGGATGGGGAGCAGCACTCACGGCCACGTTGGGCTGCGCTGACGGCACCGCCTGGGGCACGATGAGCCCGGCCTGAGGCTTCAGCGTGGCCAGAGCTGCGGAAACACAACGGGGTTAAAGGAACACCGGGATAAAGCACTTCCCAGCGCCCCTTCCCAGGAATGTCCGTGTGTCACCTTCTCTGGCGGCGGTGACCTCCTTGGTGAGGCGGGCGATGACCCTGCAGGCGGCATCGTGCTGGTACAGGGCGTGGGACAGCTCCTGGCGCGTGGTCTGCAGCTGCTGCCGCAGCGTGAAGCTGTGCAGCATCACGGCGTCCTGCCGGGAACAGCGCCCGTCAGCCCGGGACGGGCGGCACGCCGGCCCCGGCGGCGCCCCCGGCACTCACCCACTCGTCCTGCAGGGCTTTCAGGATGGCCGGGATGCTGGTGGCCGAGGGGGGCTTGGGCCGGATCGGGTGGGCGACTGCAGGGAAGATGGACACGTCACCCGTGTCCCCACATCCCCGTGGATCGCCGCACCCCCATCCCCTGCCTTTCCCGTTTCACCATCCCTGCTTTACCCCCCTCCTTCCCAGCCTCCCTGCTGAGCGCGGCACCTCAGCCCCGGCTCAGCAGAGCCCAGAACGCCTCGGGCACCGCCATTCCCGACCCCGGGAGGGCCGCTGTTCCCGGGAGAGCCGCTGTTCCCGGGAGGGCCGCTGTTCCCGGGAGAGCCGCTGTTCCCGGGAGAGCCGCTGTTCCCGCGCCGCTCCCGCCGCCGGCACCTTTGATGTCGATGAGCTGCTCCTCGGACAGCGGCTGGTTGTTGACAGGGTCGGTGCCGTTCTCCGCGATGTACTTCTCGATCAGCCGCCGCTCGTACACGTGGTTGGACACCGGCGACACACACGGGTGCTCCGGGACCTCGTTGGAAACTGCGGGGGGCAGGGAAGGACGGGATGGCACGGGAACGGGGCGTTGCGAACCCCCTGCCCGCTGATCCCCCGGTGAGCCCGGCCGTCCCCGCCCCGCAGCCCGGGATCCCCCGTTCGGTAACGCTCCCGCGGCCGCGCTCTCTCCGCACTCACTGGATCAGATGAGCGCCATGGCGGAGGCCGGGGGGTCGCGGCGCTCCGCTTACGGCCCCGCTGCCCTTCCGAGGCTGTTTCCGGTTCTCCTTTCCGGTCCGGGGTCCCGGTTCCGGTTCCGGTTGGCGCGCGCGGCCCCCGCGCCGCTCCCGAGCGCTCACGCGGGCGCCGCCGGAACCGGAAACGCTCCCGGCATCCCCCGCGCTCCCCCCGCCGGCGGGAACCGCGCGCCGCCGCCCGCCCCCGGCCGTTGCCATGGTGACCGCGCTCCCGGCATGCGCCGCGGCCGGCCCGGGGACTACAGCTCCCGGCGTGCCCCGCCCTGAGGGGGGCGGGCAGAGCGGCGATCGGGGGTGCCAGGGGAATGGGGGGAACTGGGCGGGGCACGGCGGGACTGGGGAGATCCCGGGGGGATTGGGGAGAAGTGGGGAGCACGGGGGGTCTCGGGGGTGGCAGGGTCCCATCCTGGAGTGCCCCGCTCCCTCCTTGGGGAAGGGGTGCCCCCCCTTCCCAGCCAGGCCCGGTGCCCTTGGCTGTGTCCCGCTGACTCTTGTCGATCCCAAAAATAGCCGGGACACCCGGGCCTGTGCTGGGGGGGGGGCATGGAACTGGGCTGTGGGGCCTCCAGCCTCCCCTCCTGCTTGGGGGACCCCAAAACCAGCAAGTGAGCCCCAAAAGCAGCAGGGTTTCCCCCTCCCAGCACCCCCACATGTCTGTCCCCACAGCTCCCAGGTTCCAGGATGGGCAGTGCCGTGGGGCACGGGGCCCTGCTGGCCCTGCTGCTGTGGATCCCATTCCTCATGGGATCAGCGGGGGACGGAGCCAAGGATGGGCAGGAGGGGTTCCGGGGACACGCCACCACCGTCTCCGATGACCTGCTGCTGCGGCTGGGAAGATCCACTTGGGACACCCTGGAAAACTGGGTGGGACAGCAGCCCCTGCGGATGGTGGCGGAGGTGGGATCCCCATTCCCAAACCTCCCCTGGAGTTCCTTGTGCAGGCGCACGGGACATTTTCCCACTCCCTTCTCCCCGTATTTCCCTGCAGAGCCTCTCCACCACGCTCTGGATCGTTTCCTCTGGGATCTCAGCAGCCCTGACCACGCTCTGTGGGATCCTGGGCGATCTCCTGGCCGCTTCCGGCATCAGCGGTGAGTGGGGCTCACCCCGTGGGACGGCTCCAGCCCCGTTCCCGGTGCTGACTCCCAGCTCCCGTCATTCCCAGGCCACCGGCTGGTCCGAGCGGCAGCGCTGGCTCCCGGGGAGGTGCAGAGGGTGCTCCTGTGGGCCGTGGCCGCCCTGCTGGGATCCTGGCTGCTAGCCCGGCTGCGGGGGCTGCTGCGGCCGCTGCTGCGCTGGGTGAAGCTTTTCTTTTTCCTCGGGGCCTTCCTGCACGTGGCCGCTTCCCAGGAGAGCCCCACGGTGCAGGCGGGAATGCTGCTGGGCCTGTGGGTGCTCTACGCCTTCCTGAGCAGCCTGGTGGCGTCCCCGGATCCCAGCGCCCGGCTGGACGCGGCCGTCAAGAGCCTGGAGTGGAAGGTGGAGGAGCTGCGGCGGCGCCAGAAGTTTGGGGGGCCCCGGAACCGGGAGGATTGAGCCCCACTGAGGCTTTCCCAAAGCTTGGCTCCGTCATCCCGAGCATGTGTCCCCCTGCTCTGCTGAGCCCCCCGCACCTCCTGCCCTGCTTCCCGGTTCTCCCAGGGGTCCTGGGAGCCCCCCATGCCTCTGGGAGCACCCCAAAATCGGGGGCTGTGCCTTGCCACACATGCTACAAGTGCCTTCACCCCAAAAGCCCCCACAAATGTGGGAGAAGAGCTCCCGCATTCCCTGCTGGCCTGGGATGTTGTCCCAGCCCAGCCGGCTTGGGGTGCAGAGGGGATCCCATTCCCCATCCCGGGGGCTCTGCTTGTTTTGGGGTCCCCTCACTGTCAGGGTTTGGGTTTTAAGCTGCTTTTTAAAACGGTTTTGATAATGTGGTTTGGAATAAAGACGGATTTATCCGGCGTGGCCCCACTACTTTCCCATGGGAAGGGGGACAGGGTCAGAGGCAGCCCCCCAGTCCATCCGAGGTGGGAGGGAGGAGGAGGAAGAGGAGGAGAAGGAGGGTGGTTTATCCATGCCCGGATCCCACCACCCTCCACCTGTTCCTGCTGTGCTTCCCGCTCACTCCGTGCCCCTTGCCATGGATGTTCTTGTCCTTCCCATGTCCCCAGTATCCCTGGTGGAACAGGGAAAGGTGGATGGCAGCTGGCACCGGGAACAGCACCGGGCACCGACTCCGACCCCGCTCCGCGCCCCTCCCGCCGTCCTGCCGGGATCCGCTCCCGCGTGGACCCGCAACCTGGGTCGATTCTCCCCTTTCCCCGCGGTCGGGGTCCCTCCGTTCCGCCGGGATCCCGGGAGCCGAGGCGACCTCACCCCCTCCTCCTCCTTCCCCGCGTTCCCCGGGATCCGCGTCCCCCATTCCGCGGGGATCCGTGCCCCCTCCACCGCCTGGGATCCCGAGGGGTTCACCCGGGAACGTGGGGTCCGCTGGGATCTCGAAGGGGGAATCTCCTCCCAGTCCCCATGGGAACCCACCACCCGAGGGACTCCTCGGATCCCGGGATCTGCTTGGCCTCCGTCCCCACACACCCGATCCCCGCGGTGGGATCAATTCCCGGCCGTGAGGAAGCCCTGCCCGGGCATCCAGGTGGGATCTGCTCCCTGTGATGAGGGATCCCTCTGAGCACCATGAGGGGGGCACCGTGAGGGCACCATGAGCGTGGATCCCACCCTGCAGGACATGGTTCCAACCCTCTCGCCAGCGGGGAATGCATTCCCACAGGGAACAGCCAGGACTGGGGGAGCCGAGTGCCTCCCCTCCCCAGTCCTGATGCAGGGATGGGACAACCCTGGAATGGGATAACCCTGGGACAGGGCAACCATGGCAGGGCTGACCTCAGAATGTGGTGGCCCAGGCAAGGGGTCACCCTGTGTGCTGCCACAAAGGTGGGCACAGAGACCCCCTCCCGCCACCCCTGTGCACCCATTCCCGCTGTGTCCCTGAGGGATGTGACGCGTCCTTGTCCCTGCAGTGAGGGGTGACGGGGAGCCCCCGGATGCCGTGTTCCTGCCGGCGGAGCTGGAGGTCCTTGGGGTGCCCGAGTCCTACCGGCTGCAGAGGGTGGATCAGGACGTGGCCCCCAACTCTTCCCTGCACACCCGCTCCGAGACATTCCTGCTGCTTCGTGCTGGATCCCAGCCCCTGGTCCAGGCCACCTACCCCCCGTTCAGCATCCGCCAGGTAACCGGGAGTCCTGTGTCCCCTGGGCCACCCCAGGGCGTCCTGGCCCCCACCACCATCCTGGTGTCCTTACAGGAGGTGTCCACGGAGAGCCCCCCCGGCTCAGCAGCTTGGGCCATCCGTGCCGTGTCCCTGGAGAGCTCTGTGTCCCCTGCTGACCCCGTGGCCCGTGTCCTCTTCCATCTGTACGGGCCTGACTGGATGCCTGGGAAGCAGGATCATGCTGGGGCCCGGAGTCATCCCAAGGACTGGGACCATCCTGGGATCTGGGATCACCCTGAAGTCCAGGACCACCCTGGGGGTCAGGGTCGCCCCAGGGACTGGGATCATCCCAGGGAGCAGAACCACGCTGGGGTTCGGGATCACCCCAGGGACTGGGATCACCCTGGGGATCGTGACCACCCCAGGGACCAGGACCACCCTGAGCAGCAGGAGCACCATGGAGTCCGGGATCACCCCAAGACCCGGACTCACCCCAAAGACCGGCACCACCCTGGGATCCACAATCACCCCAAGAACTGGGACCACCTCGAAGACCGGGACCACCATGAGCAGCAGGACCAGCCTGGGAGCTGGGATTCTTCAAGGGATTGGGATCACTCCAGAGCTCAGGATCTCCCCTGTGTCACCCTCCACGCTCACCACCGTGGGCGGGTGGCCCAGGGGACATGTCACCTGCAGGTCAGTGCCACCCTGGGGCCCCTGGGGACCCAAAGCTCCCCCCCAGCCTAACCCCAGGACCCCCTCTCCCCTGCAGGCCCCACTGGGTGTGTGTGTGGTGGAGCTGGAGATCCCTCCACGCTGGTTCTCCCTGGGATCCCTCCATTCCCACCGGAGCCACCGGCGAGATTCCGACCCCGTGGAGCCCCCGGAGCACCCAGAGCTGGCTGAGCTGCGCTACGGCGTGGGGGAGTGCGGGGGTCAGGAGCAGGAGGCTCCCAGATTCCTGGGAATGCTGGAGCTGCGGGCAGGAGAGCCGGAGCGGCGGCAGGAGGTGCGGCTGGACGAGAAGGTGCTGCTGCGTGTCCCCAACGTCCCCCTGCGGCCCGGGCAGCGCTTCACGGCCACCATCGCCCTGCGCCACAACTTCACCGCTGACAGCCTGACCCTGAGGTGAGAGCAGGGACAGTGGGGACACCGGGACACTGTGGGACACTGGGATGCTATGTGAGAGTGCCTGACTGTGAGTGACACACTGACAGTCATGACACTGTGTGACAGTCTGTGACATTGTGTGGCAACTTGTGGCAGTATGTGAACGTTTGATACCATGTGCACTGAGTGACATTGTGTGACAGTGTGACTGTGACACTGTGTGACACCATGTGATGCCAGCTGACAGGATCCGATACTGTGTGACATTGTGTGACAGTGAGTGGCACTGTGTGACTGTGTGTGACACTGTGTGACAGCGAGTGACACTGTGTGATTCTGAGTGACACCGTCTGGCAGCACCTCACATTATGTGACACCGTGTGACATTTTGGGGCACTGTGTGACAGCATCTGACACTGTGTGACACCATGTGCCCGCACAGGGTCAAGGCCAAGAAGGGCCTGCAGGTGGTCTCTGCCCATCCCACAATTCCCAGCACCTGGAGCGTTCACCTGGAGCGTTCCCGCGGTCCCAAACACTCCACAGCCATGGTGACGTGCCGGCGGCTCGGGGACATCCCTGCTGTCCCTGACAGCTCCAGGTAGGGAGCACCCCAATACCCCCATCCCAGTGGGAATTCCGGGTTGTTCCACCCTGATCCCAGTGTGGTGCCGCAGGGTGTCCGGGCCGGCTGAGTTCCTGCACCTGGATGTGGCTGTGGAAAACGGGACGGGGGGGCTGGCGCCGGCGCGGCCCCTCACGTGGCAGGTGGAGTATCCCGGCCAGGATCCCGAGGCGCAGAAGGACAAACTGGTCTGGGAAATCCAGGTGTCAGAGCGGGACATCCGCGCCCTTGTCCCGCTGGTGCAGGTGGGTGTCCCCATCCAATTCCAGCCCTCCATCCCGTGGGAAGCACCCCCTCATCCTGCTGTGCTTCCAGGAGCTGGAGATCCTAAACACGGCGCCGCTGACCGGGATCCCCCGCGCTATCCCGGTCAAACTGGTGGCTGTGGAAGCAGGGGGTGGAGTGGCTGAGCTCACGGATCCCGTGGGATGCGAATCCGCTGACAAGCAGGTGCTGCAGGTGAGTCCTGCTATCCCCTTGCTATCCCGCCTCACCCCGGGACATTCCCACGGAATTCCACGTGCCCTTGCAGGTGTCGGATTCCTGCGACCTGGTGTTCGTGGGGGGCAAGGAGAGCCGAGGGGCGCGGGGGGCCCGCGTGGATTTCTGGGTGCGCCGGCTGCGCGCGGAGCTGAGCTTCTCCGTCTGGGCTCCACTGCTCCCGCTCCGTGTCCAGCTGGGAGATCCCATCCTGGAGCAGCTCCGTGGCTGGAGACTGCCTGGGGGGCCTGACAGGTGAGCCCTACAGAATGGCATGGTGGGAAAAGGGGGAGACGGGAATGGGGCCGGGACCTGTCCTGTGGGGAGGCATCAGTGAGCCCCCAACACACTCCTACGTCTCGGGATTCTTGTCACCCTGTCGTGGAATCCCTGTCACCCTGTCCTTCAGTCCCTGTTCCCATGCCCCTGGGGAACCCCTTGTCACCCCATCCTGTGACTGTCGTCACCCTGTCCCTGTCCCCAGTGCCGTGGTGGAGTCTGAGGACGCCGCAGAGGAGCCGGAGCGGCGGGCGCGGGGCTGCCGGGCCCAGTTCCAGCGCACGGGGCTCCGGGTCCTAGCACACTTTGTGGCCCACCCCCTGGATGGTGGCCGTCACCTGTCCTACCTGCCCGGCCCTGAGTGGCTCCTGGATGTCACCCACCTGGTGGCTGCCCGGACTCGTGTCCAGGACCCCCGCGTGGCCTCACTGGAAGCGGGGGCCGTGGTTGTGGGCCGGGAGCCTGGAGTCACCTCTGTGGAGGTAAACGAGGTTGTTTGTGGAGAATTTGGGCGATCCTGGGAAGATCTGGGGGTGTGGGAAGGTTGCCGGGATGGAGCTGGGGGCTGGAAATGATCCCAGTGGCAGCTGGGCAGGATACAGGGAGGGAGGGAACTGAGGGGCTGGAGGGGCTGGCACGGAAAGGGAAGAGGAAACAGTGGTCGTGAGGGATGTTGAGGGACTCACAAGCTGCTTCCAGGTGCGCTCTCCGCTCTCCGACTCCATCCTGGGGGAGCAGACGCTGGTGGTTTCTGAGGAGAAGGTGACGGTGACAGAGCTCCACGCCCAGGTGGTGGCCGGGCTCTCCTTATCCCTGCGGACACAGCCGGATCAGCCTGGCGTGGTCACTGCCACTGTCCTGGGCACACCCACACTACGGGCCCTCAAGCAGGTGAGACGGCTGAGGAGTGACCCCAGTCTCCCCGGTGTCCCCCAAACCTCTGCCATCCCGCTTGTCATCCCACCAGGAAGCGACCCTGTCCATCTGGTTGTCCTTCTCCGACCACACGCTGGCCCCACTGGAGCTCTACGGGTGGCACAACGTGGCCTTGACCGTGACGTCCCTCAACCGCGCTGTTGCCACCGTCAGGGGGTCCCCTGGGGTCCCCGCTGCCCACCCGTGGGTGGTGGCCGAGGGGCCGGGCCGGGGGGCCCTGCTCCAGCTCAGCCTGCATCCCCCGGATGCGTGCCGGCGTGGCCGGCACCGCGCAGCCGCCCTGGCCACCGGCACCGCCTGGCTCGAGGTGGGGGTCCCCTCTCCCGGGAGCCCCCGGCCCTTCCCGCGGGCCGAGGGCGCCATGTCCGGGGAGGCGGTGACCGTGGGACAGAGGGACCCCGCGGGCGTGGGGCCAGCAGCCACCAAGCTCCAGGGGTCTTCCTCGGAGGAGGATGAGGAGGAAGGCTACGGACGCAACCGTGCCGGCATGGAGGAGGAGGAGGAAGAGGAGGAGGAGATTGTGAAGGCTCCGGAGCGGGTGACCGACCTGGAAATTGGAATGTACGTGCTCCTGGGAGTCTTCTGCCTCGCCATCTTCATCTTCCTCGTCAACTGCATCTTCTTCGTGCTCCGGTACCAGCAGAAGGAGCTGCCCGAGCCGGGCGGGGCCCCCTCGGCCCCACAACCCCACAACTGGGTCTGGCTGGGCACCGACCAGGAAGAGCTGAGCCGGCAGCTGGATCGGCAGCAGCTGGAGCGGCCACAGCCGGACCGCCGGCAGCCGGAGCCCCCGGCATCCCCGGGCCCCGCCTGTGGCTGCGGGGGCCCCCCGGGTTCCAGCGAGGACGGGGCTCCCCCCGGCTCCCCGGGCCCCGGAGCCCCGCCGCCCCGCAAGGAGGGGTCGGCTCCAGGCGGCGGCCGCAGGAAGCGCGTGGAGTTTGTCACCTTCGGTCCCCCCCGTGTCCCCGAGGAGCCCCCCCCGGCCACCCCCCACGTCCAGTCAATCCTGGTGGCCAGCGAGGACGACATCCGCTGGGTGTGCGAGGACATGGGGCTGCGGGATCCCGAGGAGCTCCGGAGCTACATGGAGAGGATCCGCGGCAGCTCCTGACCCCGAGGGGGCAACTCCCGGACCCCCCAATTCCCGGGCAAACCAGTAAGGGCCCGATCTCCTCCCCGTGCCGTGCTGGGGGGACACCCCTCTTCCCAGTGGGATGGGCCGGGGACCACTGGTGGCCTCCTGGGACCACCCCGAGGTGCCCACAGAGGGTGAGAGGGGGTCTCCCAGCCCTATCCTTACGGGGGCTGGATCCCAGCGGCACCGGGGAGGAATTTGGGATGCTCTTACTGCTTTGGGTCTCATTGCGACATGGTGTTCATAGTGGTGATGATGATGGTGGTGATGATTCCTGTGGTCTGATCCCGGGGAGGATCCTGTATCCCCCCCACCTTCACCCCGGCCACGCATCCGTTTTGTACACATTTTTTATCGGGAACGCCCGGGAAGGGGCTGCCAGGGGCTGGTATTTATGGAAAATTTTTAATTCTGACGTTGTTACAAAAATAAAGTATTTAAAAAAACTATTGGGATTCTCCTCTGTGCCATCTGCTGTGATCCTGACACCGCGTCCCCCCCTGCCCCCATGGCAGTGCCAGGCTCCTGGGAATGGGCACATGCCCTTGACCTTGGCTCCACGTGGGAGCTGGTCACGGGATTGGATCGGGGCTGGGCCTGGCCACGGCCCAGCTGGGGTCACCTTGGGATAAGGGATCTCCTTCCTCCCTCTCCTGCCATCTTCCCCCTCCACCTTTCCAACCCCAACAGCAGCCTGGTATTGCATGTCCCCAACATTCCTAAATGTCTCCTCAGCACCTACCTGTATTAGTGGCCATGGGGATTCCCACTCTTCCAGCTTCCCAGTAAGTCCCAGCAATCCCAAGACACCCTGGGTAACAGCAGGAGATCCCCCACCCCATCACCCTGCTCCCAGCTTCCCCAAACTTCCCAAAACCCTGCTGAGAGGACATGACTGGAATCCTGTTCCCCATTCCCAGCATCCTGGGTCCCCCCAGGTGCTCAGCTGGATCCCAGCCCTCAGCCACGGTGGGGATCAATGTCTCCTGGGACGCCCCACCTCCCACCCATGGAAATTCCAGCCTTACACCTCGCCTAATATTCCTGGAGGGTCCTGGAGTGATCCTGCATATGCTGGAAGATGCTCAGGATGTGGAGCTGCAGGTAACATTGACTCCAAAAAACAGGGAGAAGAGGGAAATTCCTGGCTCTTCATCACCCCACAGATGTCCCACATCTTGGGAGGCCCCGAGTCCCCCATGCCACCACCCCAAATCCACTACTTGGAGGCACAAACGAGCTGCAGATCATGATGGCTCCACCAGATCTGTGTCCCTCGGGGTGGGACCACCAGATCCACGAGGCTCCCGTGCCCCGGAGGGTCTCTGGGGTCCCCAAAACCCTGTTTCCTCCCTGCCAGGGCAGGATGGAGCCACCCCATCACCCTCCTCCACCCCACAGCACTGAGTCGGCTTCCTGCCCTCCGCCACACTCCCGGGGCTGCCGGAGCGCGGGGACACGGCCAAGCCACGTCCCCAGGCTGCTGAGAGAGGGACACCCCGAATCCCAGACCCCTGAATTCCATGGGGCTGCCCCGCTGAGGGGATGGGGGGGCTCTGCCTGCTCTTGGTGGCTCTTTCTGCCGTGGCACCTGCACGAGGTACGTCACCGTCCCCATCCTGGCCCGCGCCGTCGCTCTCTTGGGACCTTGGGGTGGTGGAGCCACAGATTTGGGGGTCAGGGACCTGCCACCTCCATGGGACGGGGAGCACTGGGGGTTCTGGGGGTTCCCAACAGGGGTGTCAGTGGTGGAGGATGCTGCCCCTCAACACAGAGGGAAGGGGATCCCCTGAAAGGGTATCCTAGGGCTTGGGAATTCTCCTAAGGGTTAAGATCCCCTTGGATCCCCCCAAAGCACCCTGGGAACCCCTAGAACAGGACCCTAAGCCCCTAAAGGTGCTCTCGGAGCCATCCCACCTACAGTCCCTTCGGGAACAGGGTGACACTCAGGGCCTGAAGCCCATCCTGTTTTTCATGCACCCCCTGGATGGTTTTGGGATGTGACACTACCTGTCCTCCCCACCCTGGCAGGATTTGGGATAGTTTGGCTGCCAAAATGTCTGCCAGGAGCTGCTTGGAGGCCTCCAATTGATCAGGAAACGGCCCCGTCACCCCATTTCCGCCCTTCTCACACCTCCATCCCCACCTGGAGCAGCTCATTCCCACCTTCTGCCCTCATCCTTGGCCTCATCCTTGAACATTTTAACTCCAATCCACACTGCACCAGCTCTGGTGTCTCTTCCCAGGATTCCCACCCAAGCAGCCCCCCCTGGATGCCTCACTTCTGGGGCTGAATCCTTCCCCCTGGAGGAGCCAAATGGGGCATTTTTAGGGATAACTGGATCATCCACTCACCTGTGGCTCTGGAGTGGGTGTAGGCAGGTGGGTACAGACAGGTCCAGCCCCTCTGTGTCTGCAGGCATGAACCGGAAGGCGGGAACAACACGGATGCAGGATGACACCACAAATTTCAGCTCTTCCACCACTGAGTCGTGTCCCAGTATTCCCATATTTAAGGCCAAATTCTCCCAGCACATCCCACACCAGGATTTAGCTCTGAGAAACATCCTGGGGCACACAGGGATTGATTTTTGGGATGCAACAGTTCCGTGATCACTTTGCCAGAGCCCGGGGGTTTCCCCACTGTGCACTCACAGCTGGGAGAATCCTCTTGGCCACATTTTGGTGGGTTTGGGATGCACCCCTCCAAACTGGGAATCCTGGGGGCTCAGCACCTCTTCCCTCTGTCCTTTCTCCCCACAGTCCCCACAGAAACGACGGAACCTCCCAATACTCCGACTGGGAACACCTCAGTGACACCGGGTGAGTGCGGGAGGGTGAGGGAATCCTTACACCCACTTTTTTGGGATTCTGGGACAACGCCAGCTCACCCTTCCCGGTGCACCTCCCAGGTCCCAGAGCGCTCCGGCTGGTGGGCGGCCGGAGCCGCTGCGAGGGCCGGGTGGAGCTGGAGCAGGAGGGGACGTGGGGGACGGTGTGTGACGACGGCTGGGACATTCCCGACGCCGACGTCGTGTGCCGCCAACTGCAGTGCGGCCACGCCGTGAGAGCCCACGGCGACGCCGCCTTCGGCCGCGGGCACGGCCCCATCCTCCGGGATGAGGTGGGATGCCAGGGACACGAGCGGGACCTCTGGGAATGTCCGGCCGCGCTGGAGCACGACTGCAGCCACAAGGAGGACGCCGGCGTGGTTTGCTCAGGTGGGTTTGAAACATTCCAGAGCGGGGGATGTGGATGGCACGCCCTCATGGCTGCGCTCTTCCCGCAGAGCACCAGGAGTGGCGGCTCTCCGGAGGCCGGGATGGCTGTGCCGGCAGGGTGGAGGTGTTCTTCCGCGGTACTTGGAGCACGGTGTGTAACAGCACCTGGTACGAGGCGGAGGCCGCGGTGCTGTGCCGGACGCTGGGATGCGGGGATGTGCTCCAGCGGCCCTCCTTCAGACACACGCTTCCCGGGAAGATGACATACATGTGTGACAACCTGCAGCCCTCGCTGGCAGAGTGCCTCTGGATCTTCAATAAATCCGCTCCCTGTTACCAATCCGGGGCTGCCGGGGTCATCTGCAATGGTACCACATCCTGCTGACGGGATTTGAGGCACGGCCTGGGTGCTGCTCTCTCCCAAGCATCCCATTTCTGTTCCCGCCCTTTCCAGGCTCCCAGGGTTTGGAGGTGCCAACGCCCACGGCGGCTGAGGTGACGCCCAGGAATGTCACTGTCCTGCACGGTGAGTGTCCGAGCCCTCGGCCGTTCCCTGGGATCAGGGTAAAATTCCCAGCAGGAAAGATTCATGTGGGATGAGCTGTGTCTGTTCTCTGTTCCCAGCCGAGGAGGGGACCCCAACCTTGGGGACACCGCCAGTGGACAGTCCCCTCTTTGTCCTGTGCCTGGTGCTGGCCGCGCTGCTCCTGCTCTCCGTGCTGGCCTTTTCTGCTGCCCTGCTGAGGCTGAGGAAGAGGAGCGGTAAGGAACTCTGGATCCAGACATGGAACTGGGACACGATCCTCACTTTTTGGGCTCAGCTCAGCCATGGAGTGGGTGCATCCCCTTGTCCCCACAGCCATGTCCTCCTTGGGAATACCCATGCCAGTCCTGGTGACCCACAGCTCCCAGAGCCCCAGCGCTCCCTCCGGGATCCCCAACGACTACAGGAAGACTCCCACCAGCCTTCCCAAAAAATCAGGTGGGTCTGGCAGGTCCCCCCAGGGGCTGTGGGGCCAGATGTGCCAGCTGGTGACAGATGCCACGTCCCCTTGTCACCCCCCAGACTGTCTGGTCACAGCCATTTCCAAGGATTCAGATTCCGACTCGGAATATTATGAGTTCAGCAGCAAGCCTCCTGTCGCCCTGTCCACCTTCTACAGTGAGCATCCCACTTCCTCTGGGATCCCTGACACCCTGTCCCGGGATCCCTGTCACCCAGGATGTTCCCACCCCTCTCCCCTTCCCACAGACTCCCTGCGCCGGCATTCCAGGGAGGATTTTCTTCCTCTGAGACCCAGCCAGGACAGGATGGAGCCATTCCCTGAGGACGGTATGACACACGGGGGGGTCTATCCCATGGATAGAATGGTGGCCACCCCCTCTTCCAGTATCTTTGTTCCCATGTTTGATGTCCTTGTCCTAACAGAGTCAGCCAGGCCAGGCCCTCCACTCCGCAGCTCCTCCAGCTCATCCTCAACCTCATCCACGGAGCCCTACTGGAATGGCAGCATTCCCCCCCCTGCCCAGGGCCCCCAGGGGCACCCGGCAGCCACCAGCCATGGCTGTGGCACAGGTGGGAAGTGTGGGAGCAGGGATGGGGAGACCTCAGGGATGGGAAAAACGGATGCAGAGACCACAGGGATGGGGAGGGAATGGGGGCTCAGGGACTCCAAGTATAGAAGCAGGGATGGGAGCAGGGATAGAGGGACCCCAAGGATGGGAAGATGGATGGGTTCAACCTCAGGGAGGAAATGGGGGGACCCCATGGAGTGGGAGCAGGGCTGGAAAGTGCCAGCCAGTGACTCTGCTCCTCCCAGCTCCCCCAGTTCCCCCGGCAGCGCCTGCCCCAGTGCCCTCCCAGCCCTGGGTACCTGCAGCTCCGGCAGATCCCGATCCCGACGGCAGCTCCAGCACCTCCTCGGGGGAGTGGTACGAGAACGTGCAGGAGACGGAGCCCCCCGGAGACCCCTCCTCACATCCAGGTGAGGATCCTGTGCTGGAGGTGGGGTACACAGGGAGTTCCAGGAATTCCCAAATCCTGATGGGCTCTGTCTCTGCAGGCTGGTCAGATCCGCCCTGTCCCTCGGGGGAACACGGGGAGGATCCCGACTTTTCCGAGGGCAGCGACTACGACGACATCCAGGACTCTCCCTACTGAGCCTGTCCCACCACTCCAGAGGCCAAATCTCCTGGAATTCTCGGCTATCTCCTCCAGAATTCTCCAGCCATCTCCTCTGTGCTGCCATTAAAAGCTTTTCCCATCGTGTCCCTTGTCCATAGGGGTGTCACCAGCCCTGCAGTGAGACCGAGCCACCAAGTACTCCCACTTGTCCACTGACACAAAGATGGCCAAACATCCCAGCCCCAGCCCACAGCAGCAGGGAAGGGGTGGCAGGGCCCTGATCCAGCTCCACAGCGCCAGGGGTGGAAATTAAACTGCAGGAAGGGTGGACTTGGAAGTCCCACGCGTCCCCTCAGAGCTTGTCTACACCCTTCTGGGACAGTCCCCATCCCAGGAACATGCTGTCCATAAATCCTGTCCAGGAAGTCTCCAGGGATGCTGGAAGGGAAGCCATTGATGTGCCACCCCAAACCCACTGGGTGGTGCCCTGTGAGGGTGGGATGGAACCCCCAAACCTTTCAGCACCTCCCAGTCCATCCATATCCCAGAAGGAAGCTGGAGCCAAGCACCATCCCAGCTTTGGGATTTGGGGTGCTCCCAAAAGCTGGGAAGGGGCACAGCACCCACCCACCACCCCGGGATTGGGACCCTGCTGCCCATCCCAAGCCGGCTGCTCCCGCCCGGCCCCGCCGTCGGATCTCTGTCTCCCCGGGGAGCAGAGACAGGTCGGGGTTCAGCTGCACCCCAAGTGGAAAATGTGCCCCCCCCCACATCCTCCAGCTGTTTGCTGAGCGAGAGGCCCCGCACAAAGGAGCCGCAACAACGGAGGAAATCCCAAAATAGCAGCAAAACCCCGACAAAGGGCACGGGGCGAGGCGCGGGCCGAGAGCGCAGCGGGCACGGGGGGTGCCCCAGCCCCAGCCCCTCTCCTGGCTCCGGGGGGCTGGGAGGGAGCCGGTGGTGCTGGGATCGCTGGGATTGTGGCATGGACAGGCCTGGAGGGATGGATGAATTGCGGCGGGTCCTGATGCCCTGGAGGGGTCACAGAATTCAGGGGGTGTGGATGTACTGGGATCCCAACGTGCAGAGGGACAGCAGCGTCCTGAGGGTGCTGATTCCTGCGAAGGCACCAGTTCCCTGGGGATAACAAAGCCCTGGAAGGTACCAAAGCCCTGGGGGGCACCAATTCCCTGGGGATACCAACAGCCTGGGGGCACCAGTTCCCTGGGGATAACAAAGCCCTTGGAGCGTGACAACCCAGCCCAGGTGTCACCTCCATCCCCACACAGCCATATCAGCGCCAACCGTTCCTCCGAGCTGCTCCCGCCCGGAAAATCCCCCTTTTCCTCATCATTATGATCCCAGCAGCGTGCCGACAGCCGACAAGCCCCTTCCCGCTCGCTCCAAAGGCAGCTCCTGCTTTTTAAAAGGCTCCTCACGGCAGGCAGCGTTGTCAGCACTTCCCAGCGCTCCCCAGACTCCCCCCGGGAAGGGATTCCAATCATCCCGAGCTGCCACGGCATGCTCAGGATGCTGAGCTGACTCGCAGCGCCCGAGGCAAGGCAGATGCTCAATGCAAAGCCAAATCCTGTCCTTGGGATCTCATGGCCTCCAGAGGCAGTCGCTGCTCTGAGGGAAGGGCTGGACCCCAGGCACCCCATAGCCATGGGGGTCACACACCTTTGGATAACAGGATCTTTCCTGGAGGCACAGTGTCCTGGGATGTTTGAGGGGAATCCCAAATTTCAGGTTGATTTTGGGGGATTGTGGCTTGCGGACCCTCCATCAACTCCTGTGGGAGCAGGTCTGGGAATTGCACCCCTTTTCCAGGGAATTTTCAAAGCCAAAGTGGGTGGGGGGCAGCTCCAGGACCCCAGTGTGGGATATTCCAACAGGGCCTGCTCCCACCAGGATCAGCAGAACCGCTGGGATAACTGGGATGGGATCAAGTGATGGCTACAGGGAGCACCCAGATGCTGAGATCCTGCTCCAGGGCTGGGCACTGGAGCATCCACGGATGCTGGAGCAGGATGGGATGGGAAGCTCCATCCATTTCTCCTTCCAGCAGGAATACCACAGGGTCAATGGAAAACAGCTGCCTCATTAGCATGCCTGACCTGGATTCAGAGCATTTAATTAGGGCACAATCAATTAACGCCTCTGCCCTGTCCGGGCCCAGCACCGCTGGTGCCCCACGTGCTCTTGCAGGGCTGTAGGGTGTCCCTGGAATGCCAGAACCTGGGATGTGCCTGGATCCCATCCAATTCCTGGGTTAATCACAGAGTTTTAGGGGATGCCAGGATGGGCATCAACTCCTCTGCAACCCTGGGGGGCTCGGGGACCCCCAGACCTCCCTCGGCACTGGATATATTCACTACCTCCCTTTCCCAGGGCCGCGGAGACCCTGGGATTTGGTGGGGCCTGAACCCCACATGTTTCTCACCCCTTTCCTCTCGTGCTTGGCGGGACCCAGGGAGGCAACAGAGTCTTCAAACGGGCCCAGAGGTGACGTCAAAAAACCACAGAGGGAGGAAAAACAGCCGGTTCCTGTCCGGGCCCCCTCCCTCGCCTGCTCCGGGCCGGGCAGCGGAGGCGGCGGAGCCCCCGGAGCCTCCCGTGCCCCCATGGCACCAGCGGAGCCCATGGCAACCCGGCTGCCCATCCTGTGCCTCCTGCTGGGAATGTGGGGTGAGTACCAGGCACCCTGGCCGCGGTGCGCCGCTCGGATCCCGTGGCAGAGCCCTGCCGGTTTTCCCGCTCCAGGTGGGATCCGCACCTCGAGTGAGCCACAGTTTGGGGCTTGGGGTGGGAAGCACCCTGGTGACCCCCCAAATCCCCACCCACCTCACTCTGGGGGTTCCCAGGGTCCCAGGGTTGAGCCAGTGGTGCTGAGGGCAGCCAGGTATCCCCACATCCTCATTCCCTGCCAGCTCCCGCCCTCCCTTCCATCTTCATGGCACCATTCCCGAACATTCCACCCAGGAGCAGGGCTAATTAGCAGTAATTTGCAGGGCCCTCGTCTTTTCTCTGCCCTAAAAATCCCCCAGCAGACAGATGAGGAGTCAGCAAATCGCCTTTCTCCCCCAGAAATCCCAGTTTCCCCACAAAACCCCCCTTTTCCTCAAAATAACCATCAACAAGCCGAGCAGCGGAGCCGCTGTCCCAAACCCGGGGTCCGCAGGGCGGGATGCGGGATTGACACCCCATTTCCGCTCTTTCTCGCAGCCATCCCTGACCATGGAGGAGCCACCTGGATCCCTGGAGGTGAGAATTTGGGGAGCAGCGCTTTGGGAATGCCCCCACAGCTCCATGAGCACGGCGGGTGCTGGAGTTGCATCATCCGGAAGCGGCGTCGCGGGGTCCCAGCTCAAGCCCCCACATTCCCTCGACCCCTCCATGCTCCCATTCCTTGCACTGTTCTCCAAGGCCCCCACCAAGGGGCCTTGGGAATCATTCCCAGGGTGAAAACCCACTGGGAAGGGAAGGAAAGCCCCTAATGATGGTGTTTTCCTGGTGTTTTCCCAAAGAATCCATCCTGAGACTCAGCAGAGGCGGCTGCCGCTGCACTGGGATTCTGGAGGTGAACTGGGAACACCAGTGGAGACCAATCTGCTGGGAGAGCGTGAGCATGGGAGACCTGGGTTGGATCTGCCAGCAGCTGGAGTGCGGCCCCCCGACCTCTGAGCCCTTGGAGCTCATCATTCCTGGTGGGAGAGAGCCACAGAGTCAGCCCAGGAGGTGCAGTAACCCACTGGGATGCCAGTGGGAGCTGGAAAACTGCACGGAGCATGTCATCGTTGCCTGTAAAGGTGAGCCTGGACCCCCGGCCACCTCAATCCCTAGGGATCATCCATGCCCACGTGGTCCCTCTCTTCTCATTCCAGAGCCAGTGAAAACGTCATTGTTGCCTGTAAAGGTGAGCCTGGACTCCCAGCCCGGCCATCTCAATCCCTAGGGATCATCCATGCCCACGTGGTCCCTCTCTTCTCATTCCAGAGCCAGTGAAAACCACTCCCAAGCCCCCACCAACACCCCCGGCCACCACCCCAGAGCCCACGGGTAAGCACCTCATCCCAGGGAATCTGTAGCCTCAAATTTGGGAACTTCCCGCTAAATAATGGAAAAATTGCCATCCCAATCTATAACGCTTCCTCTTCCATCACCAATCCCTGTCCAGGACCCCCCAGGCTGCGGCTGGTGGACGGGAATTTCAGCTGCTCTGGCTTCCTGGAGCTGCACAAGCAGGGGCTGTGGGGGGCTGTGGCGAGCTTCCCGGACACCTGGACACATCTGGTCACCCTCATCTGCCAGGAGCTGCGCTGTGGCACTGCCGGGAGCAGCCACGGCAAGCCGGATCCCGGGATCCACCTGCCGGTGCGGTGGGAGGCAGTGGATTCCTGCGGGAGCCATTCCCTGCTGGACTGCTTCAACAGGAGCAGCCCCCGGGACAAAGCGCCCGCCTTCATCACCTGCTCAGGTGAGAATGGTCCTGAGGATCCGTGATTTCCTGCTCCGGTGGGAGACCCCGGGGGGATTTTGGGGCCCAGAACAGAGAGCCAGCCCCATCCCAGCCGGCCCCATGGGCCCCATCCACCCACTCCCGCTCTTCCTCTCCGGGGTGCGAAGGCAAAACAGGAAATCTCAGTTCCCGGCAGCGCCGAGCACGGCAGCTCCGAGCCCGGGAGGGAGAGCGGCCATGGCAGCATCCCAAATTCCAGGTGGAGCTGGGAACACTGGCAGGCACCAGGCTCTGGGCATCCTGCTGTGGGCAGCTCCCTGAGCACCTTCCCCGCCTTGGGCATATCCATGCTCCATCATCTCCCTGCCTCGGGCATGTCCCTGGATATCTTCCCTGCCACAGGCATATCCCTTCTTTTCCGTGCCCCTCTTCCCTGCCACAGGCACGTCCCTACTAGAGCATCTTTCCCTTGCCATGAGCATCTCCCAGCCACAGGCCTCTCCCTGTCATTTTCCATGCGTGTTTCCCTGGAAATCAGCTCGGTGCCAGCTCCATGGCACAGACAGCCAAGCCAAGAAGCTCGGAGCAGGCTCCTTGTGGGTCCTGCCATCTGCCCCAGCTTGGAATCCCGTGGGATTTAGGGGTTTAATGGGCTGTGGCAGCTGGCAGAGCCGGCTTCCATGCTGCATTTCCCATGGGAAGAGTTCAAAGCCACTCCATGCCTGGTTCTGGTTTGGTTCAGTCCCTGTGGCATGAGGGAGCTGCTGGGAGCATCCTTGTGCCAGGAGCTGGTGCTGGAAGGAGGAGCATGTGCCAGTGATATCCCTGTGGATATCATCCCTGTCTGCCTGTGGGTCCGACTCCTCTCTCCCTGTGGTTCTGGCTCTTCTTCCCACAGGTCTGACCCATCTCCGTGGATCTGACTCCCTTCTCCTTGTGGCTCTGACCCCACTCCGTGGATCTGACCCCCATGGGTCTGATCCCCCTGTACCCATCCTCTCCTCATGGATTTCACCCCTCCCCGTGGCTCTGACCCTCCCTGTGGATCCCACCCCTCTCCCCACGGATGTGCTCCTCTCTCCCGCAGATTCCCAGCCGCGGGCCCTGCGGAGGCTGGCGGCCGGCCCCACTCCGTGTGAAGGGGACATCCAGGTGTTCCATGCAGGACAGTGGTGGGATCTGTGCGAGTCCGGAGCAGCGCAGCGAGACAAGCGTGGCCGGCAGATCTGCCGGGAGCTGGGCTGCGGGAATCTCACTTCCAGCATGGAAATCCGGGAGCCTCCCTCGACGGGAGTCACCTGTGAGCTCGAACCCCTGCACCTCTGCCAGCCCAAACTTGGGAATGCCCGGAGCTGCTCCCGGACCAGAGTTGTGTGTAAGCCACGAGATCCGTGCTGGGAGCTGGAATTGCCACACCTATGGAAGGGGCAGGGACGGGGGGACAAAATCCCCCCGGGATTTGGGTTCCTGGCGGGGTAATGGATTTTCACATCTCCAGCTGGACACATCCAGTGACACCCGTGCTCTTTCCAGGCCAGGACTCAAAGCCGCTTCCCACGGGAACGTCTGCTGGAACCGTCGTGAGCATCTGCCTGGCCCTGCTGCTTTTCCTCATCCTTTCCCTGATCTGTGGCCCTCCTGCCTATCGGAAGCTGATGAAGAGAAGTAGGGGACAACCTCGGGATCCTCATCCTTCTTTTCTTCCTTCCTTCATCCCCACGTGCCGGCTCAGGGCTGGCAGCTCCATGGATGCTTCCCTAAACTCCTTGGGGGGGATTTGGCTGCTGAGCCTGACAGATCCCCCTGCCCCATTATCCCCAGACCTGCCCCATTGTCCCCAAGCCTGTCCCACATGGAGTGTGGGAGCAGGAAGAGGGATTAAGCTCCAAGCAGAAACAAAAGAGCAGGTGGAGGATCCCGGGGGGGATTATTGGGAAGGGGAGCAGTATTCGGGATGACATATGGGGCTGGCAGGGGGGAAGCAGCTGGAGGAAGGATCGGGAAGATCCTTGGAAACACAGTTCTCCCTCTCTCTCAGTCTCCAAGAAGAAGCAGCGCCAGTGGATCGGCCCCACAGGACTCAACCAGACGGGTGAGGAGCAGCTCGTTGGGGAGCTGGGAATGGGATTTGGAGCTCCTGGGGATGGATCTGGGGTCTGGGTGGGCTGTTCCCCCCGGATCCTGGCACAAGGGCCCTGGATCTCACTTCCTTTTGGAATATAACTGATCCAGGAGATGCAGGCCTGGAGCAGGGACCAATTTTACTCAGCCCCTTCCTGGGTGGCTTTGTTCCCTCCAAGCTGCTGTTCCAACCCCCAAATCCCAATCCCGCTATCTTCTCCAGTGTCTTTCCACCGCTCCAGCACCGCTCCGAGGCCTCGGGGACAGGGAGGGGACAACGACTACGCTCAGGCCCCCAAAAAGAGCTCCCAGCTCTCCGCTTACCCAGGTAAGTGCTGGAAGTGGCTCCTTCCCGTTCCTTTGCCATGGAAGTGAATCCAATGAGGTGCATCCATGCCCTCCACAGCTCTGGAAGCAGCGTGCCGGCGTTCCAACCCTCCGGATAACTCCTCGGACAGCGACTACGACCTGCACTCTGCCCGCAGGGTGTGACTCCCTGCTTCCCAAAGGAGCTGATGCCACCTCCCACCTCAGCTTTGGGGGCATCCCAGCATTCCAGCACCCTTCCAGGAGCACTTCCCACCCTCCTCTTGGGAGAAAAGGAGGTTTTTGGGGTTTTTTTAAAGCTATTTATAGGAATTTAAGAGGTACGGGGGTGCAAGGAGCCCTTTGGAATAGTGGGATCACCAGCTTCTCCAAACCAGGATAAAGAGTTGGGATGATGGATAAAGGATAGGGATGCAAGGGTGGGAATACTGAGAATGAGTCTGAGATATTTAATAACAAATACTTGTAATAAAATTGGGGTTTTGTACTAATTACACCTTGTCCTCTTCCTTCCATTATCCCAGTGTGACTCCAAACCCCCAGTCAGGAGGGAAAAGAGGGACAGGGAAACACCTTTTCCCTGTTTTTTTGATCCCAGGGATAAATGCTAGGAATGCAGGAACTGAAGCAGGCTTGAAGATGGTTCTGGGAGGGGGTGAAAGATTTCAGTGATGGGATCCAAAGGAAGCAGAATGCCAGGAAGGGATAAAGGGATCAATCCTTATCCGGATGTTCCGTTGCTTCCCAAAGTAACCAGGGCCATGACTCCAGAGTGCAATTAATTCATCCAGTTTTATTACTCTAATTAATCCCAGGGATGGAATTACTTCCATCAGTCCCTCATCCTAGTCCATTAGTAATCGTTCCTTATAAATAACTTAAAGGGATACAGGCAGGATTTGAAGGATAAAGTGCTGAGCAAAGCAAATCCCGTTTCCATCGTTTGTCATTCCCTCCGTTTCCAAGTGTTTCCTGAGAAGGGAGATGTGAGGAGCCCGAAAAACCACACGGGAGGTCGGGAATACTGGAGGCTGCCCAGGCCCGGGTGGGAATCACTGACTCCAACTGACAGCCCTGGAATGGTTTGGGTGAAAAGGGATCTTAAGGATCAGCCACTTCCAATCCCTTTCCACTTGCTCCAAACCCTGTCTAACCTGGCCTTGGATATTTCCAGGGATGGAGCTGCCATAACTTCCCTGGGAAATCCATTCCAGGGTCTCACCACCATCACAGGGAAGAATTTCTTCCCAAAATCCCATCTAAACCCACCCTTTGACAGCGTGAAGCCACTCCCCATTATCCCATCACTCCAAGTCTTTGTCCAAGTCCTTGTCCAGTTCTCTTGGAGCCCCTCTAGCACTGGAAGGTGCTCCAAGGTTTCCCTGGAGGTTTCTCCTCTCCGGATTTCTGCTGGTCTGGCTCTGCCTCTCGCTCCGACCTCCGGAGCCGTGACTTATCCCGTGTAATTCCTTTGCACCGAGGGATCCAGGAGCAACACTCTGGAATCCCTCCTCTTCCTCAGTCCCCAGAAAAAGGAGGAATCAGCACAGGATGCTCCCCAGAAGTCCTGGATTAGTATCCAGGCCAGGTAGGACGCTGAGGGTTCGGAGGCGGGGGGTATCCAAAGGGTGGGGGAGGCCCGGGATAGGGAGCCTGCGTTGGGATGGGGAAATTCGGGAGAGGGGGCTGAGTGGGGTACGGACACTGCGGTCTCCCTGCTCCAGGTGGGACGTAGGGAGAGTATCCCGGTCTGGCAGGGGGAGGAGAGGGATGGGGAGCAGGATAGGGCAAGGGCTGTGGTGGGCCCCGGGACGGAGACCAGGAAAAGCCTCCCGAGGTGGATTTGGGATACCCTGGAGCAGAGTCAGCAGCGGAAGCCGCCGGATATCCGGGAGCTGGAGCAAGCGGGTAGGGGAAGGCAGACTGGGAGCTGGGCTGGGAGGAGGCCACGTGTCCCACGGCGACCGGAGACCCCGGGAAAGGGGCGGGAGGCAGCGCTCCGTGGGCAGCGGGGCCGGGCGGGAGGGCCGGAGCCGGGCTGTAGGGCAGAGGGAAGGCCGGAGATCCCGGTGGGAAAGGTTTTGGTGGATCCGTGGGAATGTGAGGAGGAGGAGGAAGAGGAGGCTGAGAGTCCCTGGTGCGCTCCTGGGATCCCTCCGACTTCCTCACGATCTCCTGCAGCTTTTCCACTCGGACCCGGCGCAGGTGGGACAACTTCCTCATCCCGGAAAACTGCTCCAGGAACGTCTCCAGGGGCACTTCCCCCTCCAGGAATTTCTCAGCCATTTTCTGGAAGAAAGGAACAGCCTCGGGCTCATTCCTGCATCCCCCTGCTCCTCTTCCCTAAAATCCTGATTTAGGTCTCTCCCAGCCACATCCCAAGGAGCGACACCCACACACAAACAAGGATGGATGCAGTTCTTTGGAGAAAACCCAGCAGACTCCAAAGATAATCCATGATTTTAGGGACTGGGTTTAACTGCAAGGCTTTGAGGATGAATCACTGGCATTTCCAAGGGATTTAAGGCCTAAACTCACCTCAGATTCCTCCTCAATCTTCTGGCTTTCCACCTGGAGGAGATCCAGCAAAGTCTGAGGCTGCAGCGCTGCTGAGAATTTCTCTGGGAAAAACAAAGGGGGAAAGAGAAACCAAAATCACCATCACAGAGCAGAAACCAGGGAAAAGCCAGCAAAGAGCCCCCAGGAAAGGGATTGGGAACTGCTGATGGAAGGAGGGAAACCCAAGAGGAATAACATCGGGCTGCTGGGGAAAAAAAAGGGGTATCAGTTTCCCAGGAAGCAGAATCCTTCCTGGGCAAAGACTCCAGTGCTCACCCAGCTTTTCCTTCTGCTCCCTGCACCTCCCAGCCAGCTCCTGCAGCTCCTGGTACTTCTTGGAGAGGTCGCTGCGTCCCGTCTCCAGCGGCGCCTGGAATTTCAGGTTCTGCTCGGCCAAGCTCCGGTTGGCAGCCAGGGCCATCTCCCTTTCCAGCTGGAGCTCCTGAACCTGTGGAGGGAGTTTGGAATGGTGAGCACGGGAAGGGGACGGGGACACCCCGGAGCCACCTCCTGGCACGAACCTCCTGGGATTCCAAAGCCAGGCGCTCGATCTCCTGGGAATCCTCCTGCAGCTCCCGGAGCTCCTCCACTGTCCGGCTCCTCAGCGTGTCCATCCTCCCAGACCCCTGGCACGTGGAAAAAGAGGCAAATCAACTCCCAAATCCAGCTGGGAATAGGCTTCCAGCTGAAATCCAGGGTGGTTAAAGCCTTTAGAGCAGCTCTGCTGGGATCTGTCAACTGAGAGGCAGCAACACAATTCCCACTAACTCCTGCTTGGGAAAAACCTTTTCCCCCTTTCCCAAGCCTATTTGGGTGGAATTCTGCATATCCCAGGGTGTTCTGTCAAGGAAAAATCCACCCACAGCCCCAGCTTGCAAATTCCAGCTGGATGTCTCCGTCCCATTCCAGAACCCACCTCATTCCAGTCTCCATCCCATCCCACCCAGGAAACTGGGATCTGAGCACAGGGCTGGGAAAGACCTCAGGGATCACCCACTTCCACCTTCCCGCCACGGAATTCAGTGAAATAAAAAGATCAGGGGAAGTGATGGACTTCCTGCACCATATCCATGATTTATCCCAAGCATTCCCGGCTGTCTGGTACGTTCAGCAAGTATCCCGTGTGTGGTGTAAATTCCAAGAGTGGGGATGGAATAACGCGGGAATGTCCTAAAACCCAAGGAAACACAACACACCTGCGCTGTCCTATTCACTCCAAGCTCCTCCAGCTCTCATCCAGGTGGAACATCCCAAGGATATTACACCGGGAATGCCGCAAGAGCCACGCTGAGGCTCAGGCTTGCCCAACCCACGATCCAGACAAACCTGTCCGAGGGAAAAAATGGGAATTCAATCCCGCGCTGCAGGCGTGGGGCTGAAATCACCCGATTTGTGTCTTTCAGGGGGGTAGCAGCGAACTTTCATGGAGTTTAAGAGGGAGAAGCGGGAAGGGTGGGAGCGGGAAAGCTCGGGGTGGGGTCCGGGAAGCATCCACAGGCGCTCAGGAAGGCGGACGCAAAGGGCTGCCCACTTGCGGGGTTGCAGCGAACGCCGTGGCGGGAGCAGCGGCATTATCCCCGTTACCCCGCCGTTATTCCCGCTATTCCCATTCCCGGCCCTCTCCCGGACTCACCGAAGCGCCACCGCGACCCTCCGGCCGCCGCCGCTGCTTCCGGCTTCCGGTACAAACCGGAAGCGGGCGGGGCCACCGCGGGCGGGGCGGGAGGCGCGCGCCCCCCCCCCCTCGGGCGTGAGGGGGGTGGTTCCTCCCAGCGCCGCCATGTTGGGGGGGGCGGGAGCACGGATCAATTTAATGGCATTTTTTAATCAATAATCGCTCTTTGGCTACCCGCCGGGCTCTCCCCGAGCTGTAGCTGCTCTAGGAATTATATCCTTCGTGTTTCCGGGGTGCAGGGGGCTCCGAGAGGGGTTTTGGAAAGGGCGTGGAGCGATAGGGAAAGGGGGCAAGGCTTCGCCTGGAGTTAAGTTGGATATCGGGAATGTGTCCTTCCTGTGAGCCTGAAACAGCGAGATGCCCAGGGAAGCTGCACTTGCTCCATACCTGGAAGCGTCCGAGGCCAGGTTGGAAGTGGTTTAGGAAGCACATAGAGACCTCGGCAATATCCCAAAACTTCATAAGATGTCGGGCTCTTCCAGCTGGATGAAAGCAGATTCCTCTGGAATACCTGCTCGGCTCCTCCTCGCGTGACACAGGAATGTTCCTGAGGCAGCTCAGTCCCATCGCCCTCTCCACAAACCCAGCTTTTCCAAAACATGCTTGGAAAATGCTCCACGTTCCCAAAACCCAAGCGAGGACGAGGCAGGGGAAGAGCTCCATGATTTCTGCTCCTTTGGAAGTCTGGGCAAGGTCACGCAGGTGCTGGGGAAGTGCTGGGATCTGGGAAAGGCGCCTCTGACCCCATCACCTGAGGGCTGTTGTGTAACAAACGGGAGTCATATGATCCCAAATAATTCTGGATAAATCAAGGACAATTTGTTCCCAGCGTGGCTGATAACCGGGTCAAACCCCCAGTGCCATGGGAAAGAAAAGGGACTTGACTTGCCAAAGGGGAAAAAACAACATTTTCCAGGCTTCTTTTGGAGCAGTTTCCACAGAGCTGGGAAAATGTTTAATTAACATTTTATGTTAAAACATAAGGTTTGAGGAGAGGGGAAAATTGTGTTTGGATTCGTACAGAAGAAATGGAAAAATACCCATTTAAAAGTGTTATCCAGAAATAAACTTGGGATAAATTTAGGTGGTTTTGGAAGGATATTCCCGTTAGCTGCTTATTAATGTCCTTAATTTCCACAAAAGATGGTTCCACTTGTTTTTTCCCCTTGGATGACATCTTAATCCCAGCCAAAATCGCCCACAGCAGGTAGGAAAAGGTGACCTGAGCACCCCGAGGTCCTGTTCTGCAAAATTCCATTCCCACAAGGATCAGCCAACATCCCTGGGCTTCCTTGATAAGTTAATTAAATATTTTGAATCCAATCCGGGAAATTTGACACCTCAGGAGCGTCAGATTTCCCTCCTTTCATCTGACAGCTCCGATAAAGCACCCGTGTGATAAAAGCCTTTAGGGAAGGGACAAGAAAAACTGGGAACAGGGCCTGGAAAAGTTGACTTCATGAATCCATTTCCAATAAAAGCTCTGTCTCCATAAGGGGAATTTTTTGGGAGGCTGCAGAGATAAAATTGAGGAAGTTTTGTCAGAAGGAGTTTTGATGTCCCAAAAGCCTGAAAATCCCTGTTTGATCCAGAGGGTGATTCCCATGGAAGTTAAATTCATCCCAAGGGGTATTTCCACATCAAAACGACATTTAAAAAATCTGAATTTTGCCGGTAAAAGCCTAAATTCTGGGAGAATTTTATTGCCTGGGAATCCTCACCCAGCCCCGGCTGCATCAGCCAGGAGGGAAAGCTTCCAGATCCATTTTTCCAGCTGGGGGGTTTTTGGGATCTCTGCATGCTGTGGTGCCCTCTGGTGCCAAGGAAAGCTGTGGCAGGGAGGCCACCTGCTCCCATCCACAGAGCTCCCAGCACCCGGATGGATTATTCCGAGATCCAGCATCTCATGCCCTCCATTTCCCCGCCAAGGTTTGGAAAATTCAGGATTTCTCTCCCAGGAAGCCGTTTCACGCCCTAAAAGGGGTTATTTTTCCATCCTCCCAGATTTTATTCTGGATTTAATTAGTGCTAAATCACAATTCCCATTTTTTTTCCCCAGTCCTGAATTCCACAGCTTCTTCCTTCTGTGGATATCATCCATCCAAAAATCCATCCCTGTTGGATCCATTGTTCTGCTTTTATGGGATTTACCAGCAGCACAACGAGCTTGTCCTAGAACTTGCCATAATTGGGCAAATGTGGGTTCTTTTCCATTGAGAAAACAGGAATCCTGATCTCCAAGGATGGCAGTTTTGGTAATTCAATGGTTAAATAACCCTGGGAAAACTTCATATTTTTTGTTTTCTCTACTATTTTGGCCAAAAAAGGAGGAAAACTTGGTAACTCAAGAATTTACAGGAACACATTCCAGGCTGGTTTCTCCAGCCTGGCCTTGGACACTTCCAGGGATGGGGCAGCCACAGCTTCTCTGGGAAATCTATTCCAGGGCCTCACCAGCCTCACAGGCAAGAGGTTCCTCCCAATACCCTGTTTTCCAGTTTGGAGCCTTCTCCTGTCATTCCATTCCCACTTCCAAAGTCCCTGAAGTGGGGGGAAACTGGGACGAGCTGGGGGAAAGCCAAGCTCTGGATGCCTCTGGATGAAGGTCACAGGAGCGGGATTGGGCAACTTGGCTCCGGTCACGTCACCACGTGCTGGATCCATGGAACGGTCACCTTGTCCTGGAGGAGATCAAAGGCTCCCTGAGGCTGGAGCTGGCGTTCCTCCCTTGGAATCAGCCCCATCCCGGCTCAGAATGATAGAAGAATCTGAGGGTAGGATGCCAGGTTGAACTGGGGGAGTGAAATGAAGAAGAACCTGGGTGGGGAATGTTGGGAGAAAAGGGACGGAGCACCGGATTGTCCCTGAGGAAAAAAAAAAGAAGGATGGGATGTGTTGTAGGGGGCTGGAAAGGAGAAAGCCTTGGCTGATTCCCAGCATGGAAAATCTGGACCTGGCAGCCTGAAAATCCATCATGGAGCCTTGGCAAGAGGAGAAGGAGAAGGACCTGGAGAGACCTTGGAGCCTCTTCCAGCACTTTAAGGAATTCCAGGAGAGCTGGAGAGGGACTTTGTAAAAGGACCTGAGGTGACAGGACAAGGGGCACCGGCTTCCTAGTAGGAGAGGACAGGTTTAGATGGGATATTGGGAAGAAATTCTTCCTTGCAAGGGTGGTGAATCATTCCTGGGAATGGAATTCCCGGGAAGCTGTGGCTGCCCCATTCCTGGAAGTGTCTGGCTCAAACCCTCCAGCAAGGTACGAGAGGGTTCAGGGTACAAACAGCCCTGCATTCCCACCAGCTCCCACAGAATAACCTGGAGTTCTTCCCGCCCATCCCAACATACCTGTGGCCTGAATCCCCCCAGGAACAGGGGGATCCCCCAGCTTGACATTCCTACCCCCCTTCCTTAAGGACGTTTTGATAACCATCCCAGGAGCAGTTTGCCTTTCTTATCGGGGCCTCCGGCCAAACACCGGAGCCAGGATATAAGGAGCGGGGCCGGGATCGGAGGCACATTTTCCGTGAGCTCCCACCATGAAGCTGCTCCTGCTCCTCACCCTGGTGGGCCTGGCCCAGGGCTTCCAGACCAGGTGAGCCCCAGCGGGTCCCCAAAACAGGGATGTGGGATGCGGGGTGATCCCAATGGCACATCCCAGTGATGCATCCCGGTCCCTGTCCACAGGGTGCCCCTGAGGAAGATGAAGTCGCTGCGGCAGAGGCTGCAGGAGCAGGGATTGCTGGAGAGTTACCTGGAGCAGCATCCCTACAACCTGGCTGCCAAGTATTTCCCGGGCATTGCCGTGGAGCCCCTGGAGAACTACATGGATGTGAGGGGCTGGGATTGGGAACTGGGATCAGGGTGCACAGGGGGACACTGGCTCCTTCCCCATGCCATTGGCCTGTTATCCATTCCACTAGTCCCTTCCCCATCCCTGTAACTTATTCCATTAGCCCCTTATCCATTCTCCTTTCCCCATCCCCTTAACCCCTTCCCAATCCCATTCCAACAGGATGAGTACTTTGGCACCATCTCCATTGGGACCCCACCTCAGGAATTCACTGTGGTCTTTGACACTGGTTCCTCCAACCTCTGGGTTCCCTCAGTCTTCTGCTCCAGCCCAGCCTGCAGTAGGTGTCTGGAATGAGTCTGGAATGTGTCCTTTGGGAGTAGTCCTGCATGGCTCTGCCCAGTCTTTCCCAAGGGACAAATCCCAGGCAATCCCTGTCCTTCCCACCCCCACAGGGAACCACAACCGTTTCAATCCCGCGGAATCCTCCACGTTCCTCAGCACCAATGACACCCTGTTCATCGCCTACGGCACGGGAAGCATGACCGGAATCCTGGGATACGACACCGTCGACGTACGGCCAGGCGCTCCAGCCCCCTCATCCCATGGGATCCCTTGGGATCGTGCCCAATCCACACCTGTCTCCTTTCTCCCAGGTTGCTGGCATCAACGTCCGCAACCAGATTTTTGGGCTGGCTGAGACAGAGCCAGGGGATTTCTTCTACTACACCCCCTTTGATGGCATCCTGGGATTGGCATTCCCAAGCATTGCCTCCTCCGGAGCCACCCCTGTCTTCGACAACATGATGATGGAAAACCTCGTGGATAGGCGTCTTTTCTCTGTCTACCTGAGCAGGTAAATCCCAGCCAAAGCTGCTGAGGATTTCTCCCTTTTCCCTCACACTGGCCCCATTTTCCAATGGGAATGGAGGTGTTGGTGGGCTGGGAAGAAACCCAGATGGATCTGCCTTTCCAGGGACAGTGAAGGTGGGAGCTTTGTCCTCTTCGGTGCCATTGATCCCTACTACACCACCAAAGGCATCTCCTGGATCCCACTCTCTGCTGAAACCTACTGGCAGATCGCCATGGAGGGGTATTCCCAGTATTCCCTGCCCTCCAGCTGGTGTTTTGGGGAGTCCAGGCTCACTCTGCATCCCTCTTTCCAGTGTCTCCGTCAGCGGGACTCCGGTGGCCTGCTCCTCGGGATGCCAGGCCATCGTGGATACAGGAACCACTCTGCTGGCTGTTCCTATCCGGGCCTTCCGCACCCTCATGAGGCGCCTTGGTGCCAGCTACAGTGGTGAGGTGAGGTTCAGGATGCTCCCTAGGACATCTGATCCCAGCTGGAATGGCCACTAACCTGCTGTGTCCTCCCCAGATCAGCTGTGAGGCCATCAGAAACCTTCCCAGCCTCATCTTCCATATCAACGGCAAAGAATTCCCAGTGCCACCCAGAGCCTATGTGTTAAGGGTGAGCATCCCGCTGGGAATGGGTTTGCGGGGATAGAAAGAGGGATCCAACAGCTGGTGACCACTCCCTTCCATGTCCTTGGAGCAGAGTAACGGGTACTGCACCCTGGGATTGCAAGGCATGGATGTGCCCACGGAGGAGGGCGAGCTCTGGATCCTGGGGGATGTCTTTATCCGGGAGTATTACGTCATCTTCGACAGGGCCAACAACAAGGTGGGGCTGTCCCGGCTGCCCTGAGCTGGGATGGGAATCCCAGGTGTCCCCACCTCGGTGGCTGGCAGGGCTTGTCCCTTTCCTGGCACTCCTGCCACCACCGAGGACAATAAAGGTGTGGAGAAGCGCCCCGTGCCATGTCTCTCTGAGAAAGGCCAACACATCCCTGGGAATGGGGTGTGTCCCTGGTGCCACCCTCAGCTGCACCCCCCAAGGATGTCCCTGTGCCCCAAGGATGGGAGCCTGGATGTGGCTCTGCTCATCCCTGAGGAGCTCCCAGCCTTGGGGACCTGGGGCACAACATGTCCCTCCTGTCCCCAAACCCCACTCAGGGTGAGGGGGCTGAACACCTCCAGCACTGCCTTCATCATCCTGGAAAGTCACTCATCCCAGAATTCCCAGAGGACAAGCCCTAGGGCTCCACGTGCTGGTGGTGCAGGGATGAGGGGACAGGGAATAAATACCAGAGTGACTTTATTGGTGGCAGGGGGACAGCTGCTCCCTCCCCAGGGCCAGGCCTGCTGGTCCTGCAGACCCCCTTTTCCTCCTTTCCTTCATCCTCCTCCTCCTCCTCACGGCGTTCCAGGCACACCTGGCACCTGGAACCTGGGGCTGTCCGATGGCACCACAGAGGGATCCTCATCCCTGGGGGATTCCTGAGCCTCAGGGCTGCCCGTGGGATCAGGGGGGGCCGTGGCCTCACAGAGGGGGTCAGGGGGCACAGTGGGTGCCAAGGGGTATCCAAAGGGACTTGGAGTGGTCAGAGGGGGCTTCCCAGCACCCCAAATCCCTGGAGAGGGGCCAAGGGGGAGTGTGGTGGGAAGCAGGAGCTGGGCCAGGCGGTAGCGGCGGTGTTGAGGGGTGCCAGGGGGTGAATCTTCAGGGACTGGGGACTGGGATGAGAATGGGGGTGAGGATGGGGACTGGGATGAGGATGAGGATGGGGAGGAGGATGAGGACAGGTCACTGCCCTGCAGCAGGAGCCGGCTGTCTGTGGCTGATGGAGGGAGGATTTTGGTCAGCACCCACCTCTTTCCCAGGACCCCCAGTCCGGAGGGGGCACATCCAAGTGCCTGGGAATGGGTCCAGGGATCCCATTACCTGGGCAGGATGGGCAGCAGCCCACGGGCAGTGTGTGGGGCTCAGAGCAGGAACTGGGGCACGGCCTCTCCTCACAGCTCACCTCTCCAAGCTGGAAAAACAGGGATCAGCCAGCCCAGCCCTTGCTGGGATCGAGTGACACTGGCACAGGCACCATGGACACGGGCATCCCATGGGAATGGGTGGGAAGTCTCACCTGGCAGGTGCAGCGGGTACAGGGCTGTCCCTCGGGAATGAAGCTCTGGCCGTTCTCCACCTTCCTGCCCTGGTAGTTGCAGTCTGCAGGGACCAAGGTCCAGAGGGGGTTTGGGGGGGCTCAGGGAGATTTGGGGGGTTGAGGGGGATTTTGGGAACCCGCCCGAGCTCGTACCCTCACAGACGGGGCAGCACCGACCCTCGGGGTGGAAGGGGTAGGAGCACACGATGGCACATTCCAGAGGCGAGCAGGCCACCGAGCCCAGCTGCGAGAGACGGGAGAGACCCCCGAGGGCCGGGCGTTAGGAACCCCGGAGCGCCCCCGGAGCTTTTCCCTGCAACGGAGCCAAAAACCGGGCTTCAGCCCACGGGGCGGGAGCCGCAAATCCTCTGGGAACGCCCGGCCCAGCCCTCACCAGGCAGATGCAGCTCAGGCAGGGATCCAGCGCCGACGGGAAGGTCTCGTTGTTGGAAAAGATCCTCCCCATGTAGGTGCAGCCTGCGGGGAGAGGGGCTCAGGCGGTCCCCGGGCGGCTCAGAATCCCGGAATTCCGGGCGCGCCCTCACCTGCGGAGCAGTCGGGGCAGCACTGCCCGGGAATGCGGATGGGATAAGGACACGTCTCCACACAATCCGTGCGCTGGCAGCTCACGGAGCCGTCTGCCTGCGGGCGGGAACACCCTGACAGACACCTCGGGATTCCCAAACCCGCCGGATTTGGGGGATTTGGGGCCTGACAGGCCACGGGCATCCTGAGGGCGGGAATGGAGCAGGAGCCGTGCGCTGGGGCAGGGATAGGGAAGAGGGAATGAAGCAGAGCAGGTTCTCATTCACCTGGCAGATGCATAACTCACAGGGATCGCCCGGAGACCAGATCTGTCCAACGGGAAACTCCACGCCATTGTCATCCAGGAAGCAACCTGGGTAGGATCCCTGTTCCCAACTGTGCTGTAAAACCTACCCTTCCTGTCCCCAAGGGTTCCCTATATTCCACCCTTCCTGCTCCTAGATATTCCCCATCTCTCACCCTTCTGATCATCAAGTATCCCCACACCCCACCTGTGTCCCCCACATCCCATCCCCAAATGTCCCACTCAAGTGTCCCCCACATCCTCTATCCCAGCTGTTCTTCCCATGCCATGCCATTCCCATTTCCCCAGCTTTTCCCCCTCATCCCTGCCCATTCCCAGCTGTGTCACTCATCCCGACTCACCGGCAGGGGCTGGAGGGTCCCGGCAGGTGGAGCAGCACTGCCCGGGACCCAGCTGCCGCTGGTGCTGGGGACAATCCAGCACGGGGCAGGGAGTGAAGGAACATTCCACCTCTCCTCCCTGGCAACATGGGAATGGGTCACCTGCTGTCCCTACACCAGCCCTGAGCGAAGCTGGGATGCCCCCAGCAGGTGCTGGGAAGCACTGGAGTATCCCTGGGAATCCTCATCCCTGGGGACCTCCCAGCTTTGGGGATCCTCATCCCTGGGGACATCCAGGACCCACCTGGCAGACACAGGTGGTGCAGTCGTCCCCATCCAGGCTGAACCGGGCTCCGTGCGCGTATGTGCGTCCCCGGAAATTGCACTTTTCTGGGAAAAGGGGAAGGAGAGGTGCTGGAGAGCCAAGCACGGCTCTTCCCTAACCCCCAGCCCAGCCCGGGGGTACTCACACCCCAGACTAGGGCTCCTGGGATCACCTGGATTGCAGGAGCAGCAGTCAGCCAGAGAGGGGCTGGGGCAGGATCCTGGGGGACATTCCGGGGAGAGGCAGGAGACATTCCCGGCCTGTGGAGGGGAATGTGGGGCTGGGAAAGAGGACCCTGATTCCCCATGGACAGATGAGGGGAGGGTGTCATCAGCTCCAGAGCATCCCAATCCATGGTTGAGCCAGGATGCAGGATGAGGGTCCCCAGGGATAAGGGTCACCAGTGCTGGGAGGTTCCCAGGGATGAGGGGAGATTCTCCCATCCCAATCCAGCTCACCAAGCAGACGCAGACGGTGCAATTCCCATTGGATGGGGAGAAGACATCGCCCTCGGCCCTGGCCACCCCCTCGTGCAGGCACCCTGCAAGCCATGGGGGTCAGGGGTGTCCCCCTGGGAATTCAAGGGGGGCCATCCTAGGAATTGGGGGGATCAGGGGGTTGGAACTCACCTGTGCATGTGGGGCAGCAACCCCCAGCCGGAGCGGGAAGCGGGTGGGAGCAGGGAACAGAGCAGCTCACGGTGTCACAGAGGACTCGTCCCCCCTGCCAGGACACGTGGTGGCTCATCCCAGGTCGGGATGGTGCCATGGGAAGGGGTGGGAAGATGGGATGCTCACCTGGCAGGTGCAGCTCTGGCAGCCTGGCTCTGTCCAGCGACTGCCGGGCTCCCGAGAGATTCCCCGGTGCCAACAATGATGGGATGGTGGGATGGACGTGCTGGGGGCTCCCATGGCACGTGGGGATGGCTCGGGGGACAGGGATGGAGAGGAGGGAGGAAATTGGGTACCAGGAGCTGCCACAGGGAGGTGGGGAGAGGGGGAGCCCCGCGGGAGCAGGTGGGAGCCAGGAGGGAGCAGGACAAGGGTGGGTGGATGCTGCAGGGATTGCAGGATGGGCGATGGGGCCAGAATAGATTTGGGGTACCCTAGGAAGGAAATCAGGAAGGCAGAGACATCACTTGGGCTGGCAGGGATATGGGAGCATCCCACCCTGCTCTTCCAGCCAGGAGAAGGACACGGATACCTTCACAGGACACCCTGTCTGCACTGAGCCGGTATCCGGGGCGGCAGGAGCAGCGGAAGCTGCCAGGAATGTTGTGGCAGCTGTGCTGGCAGGAGCGGCGCGTGCCAGGCCGCCGGCACTCGTCTACATCTGCGGGATGAGGGAATGGATGAGGAGGTGCTGCACCCTGGGATGTGGCCCAGGAAAGAGCCTGGAGCACCAGGATGGGCTCTCAGCATGACCCACGCAGGGATGAGGATGAGGTGGCAGCACTGTGGTCATGGGCTGACGGACACCTCCATCCCTTGGGATTTGTGGCACGAGAGGGATTAGGGCTAAGCATACATGCAGGAGCTCAGTGACCACCTCCATTGCTTGGGATTCATGGAGAGGGAAGGGGGTGTGGCACAGTGCTCAGGGGCTCAGGGCCACCTCCATCCCCCGGGAGTGATGGGAAGAGCCCCATCCCGGTGCTCACCCACGCAGGAATGCCGATTCCCGTGGAGGTGGTATCCCGGCCGGCAGGAGCAGCGGTAGCTGCCCACGCTGTTCTCGCAGCGGTGCTGGCACGGCGTGGCCTGGCATTCATCTGTGTCTGGGGGTTGGGATGAGGGTCAGGATCCCTCGGGAGCCGCAGCCGCCCCCCCGGGACCCCACGCACCCCGGCAGCTGCGGCGGTCAGCAGAGAGCTCCCGGCCGGCTCCGCACTCGCAGGCGAAGCCGCCCTCCGTGTTCAGGCACGTCCCCTCGCAGGCCGCGCTCTGGCACTCATCGATGTCTAGGGGGACACAGGGAACGGGCAGATTTGGGCTCTGGGCCCCACGGGGATGCCCAGTCCCGTCAGGATACAGCACTCCCACTCACCGGTGCAGCGGACGCCGTTGGCGGTCTCGGCCATGGAGAATCCGACGGGACACACGCGGGCGACCTCCTGGCAGCCGCCGTGGTTACAGGACAGGTCACAGCCGTACTCTCCACAAGTCCCCGGTGGCTCTGGAACACAGACGTGGCATCCACGGGGCACCCATGCCACCCCAGGACCACCCGCTTCCCATCCCACTCCATGGATCCCCCAGGGATGGGGACAGTGTCAGGGAGAGGTGACAAGGAGCCGCGGTCATCTCCATCTGCTGGGATTTGTGGCATGGAGAGGGAAGAGGGGTTGGGCACGGTGCCCATGGGTTCATGGTCATCTCCATCCCTTGGGATTCATGGTGTGGAGAGGGAAGGGCACCCGGCATAGCCACTTCTCTCAGTACCTGGGCAGGTGATTCCCTGCTCTCCATCCGGGCACATGCAAAGGTTGGGAGCGATGCAGGAACCACCACCGCAGCCGAAGGAGCAGAGCGCTGTGGGAATGGGAACAGGAGCTCTGGGAATGGGAACAGGACCCCCACGAGCCCCCCAGAGCCCTGTACTCACGCAGGGTGCACTTCCCGCTGCCCGGGGACACCATCCAGCCAGGACAACATCCGCTGCCGGAGCCTGGGAGGCAGACGTGGGGCCCCACGCGGCGCCTGTGGGACACCAGAGCCTGAGGCCACCCTGTCCTGAGCCCCCTGCATGGAGCAAAGGTCCCAGGAATGTGAGGACAGGAGGACAGCCACAGCGGTCAGGATGTGCCCATGTACCGGGAAGCAGAGCATGGCACGGATCAGAGGAAGGTAGGATGAGGTGGGACAGAGAGGGGACAACCACTTCCCACCCATCCTGAACATCCCAGCACGTGGTGACGGGAGAAGCGCCCCCCGGCCGGACAGGGATACAGGGAGCAAGACAAGGATGAGGGGAGAAGCACAGGGATGCAGGGAGCAGTGTCATGCTCCCCTGGACCCGGGAAGAGGGAGGGAATTGCGGGGTGCCAGCCCCTCTGGCTGGGACCCCTCCGGCCAAGCCCTCCTGCAGCGGGAGGCAGGGACAGCCGGAGCTCGGCAGGCTGCCCATCCCAGGTGTAGCTGGAAAAGGGAGAAGGAAAGAGGGGAATCCAGCTACCTCTCCACGGCAAAGCTGGCCGGCTTCTTCCTCGCGGGATACACCCTGCCCTGGCCGCTGGAGAGGAACAGGGACACACAGGCAGCCTGGAAGAGCAGCTCCACCAACATGACAGGCGGCTCCAGCACGTCCCGGCGCCCGCCTTCCCGCCTGCCTTCCCGCTGGCCCTTGGCCCTGCTCCTCCTCCTCCCGCCGAGCCGGGAACAATGCGGGATTGGAGGGGGCGAGAGCGCCCACCCCAAACCCGCACAGGGGGCCTGGGGTCACCCCAAGGCTGTCCCGTTCAACTGGGGCGAGTGGTGGCATCCCGGCCATTCCTGCCCTGGCTGCGCGTCGGGGAACGGGGTCCCCCCTAGGTTTGGGAAGCAGCGGGAAAGGCGTCCCCCCTTCTCTCCTTTCCCACATCTGGCAAAGATCCGGCATGGCCTCTCCCCACCCCTCCTCCTCCTTCTCCTGGAGGCGCTGGGCCGCCTTCCCAGCCCTGCACGGGGACCCACGCGGCGGAGAAAGGGGCCAAGTGGAGCCGGGATGGTGGGATGCATCCAGGAGGGAGAGGGATGCTGCGGGACACCCCACTCTGGTGACCCCCACATTCCCCCCAGCCCCGTGTCCCCATCCCAGGGCAGGGAATGAAGCGAAGGTCGGAGGCAGGTAAATGATTGATCCCGTGGAGCAAAAGGCGCTGCCGCCTCCAAAATTCTCAGTCCAGCATGGATTTCTCCCCACAAGATTCTGCCCAAGGCTTGGGATCACCCAGCAAGACACAGCCCCCTTCCAAATAAAAACCGTGGTGGGGGGGTGTCATGCTGGTTTTTTAGGAACCCAGTGGAGCCATGAGAAGCTCCTGTCCTAAGGGAATGTGATCCCAAATCCCTGGGAAGCAGCTCCAGTGGCAGCAGATAAACAGTGATCCAGGCCTAGCCAGCAGCACTTCTATCCCCAAAAAAACAGGGTGCCAACACTGCATTGGCACCACCACCCCCCCGTTTTGGTGGGGAAAAAAAGAGCACTGCTGGGACCTGGGCTGTACCGCTCCCTGGGCCTCCCAAAATTTGGGAACAGGCTGCTCCAGGCAGGTAAACAGAGCCCGAGGTAATAAAAGCAGCAGCAGAGTCCAAGGTCACTCCCTGCTCCCCCAGCTCTCGGAAGAGATGTCCAAATATAGCCGTGTCCCTGTGGCCTCCTCTGAAAATATGGGATGGAGGCAGGAGTGAGCTGTCTCCAGCATGAGCTGTCTCTGGGAGGGAAGGATTTGGGAAAAACCAGCATGGAATGGGACTTGGGGCTCACTTAACCAAGGGCTACAGGGGAGATCCAGGCTGGGGAGAGCATGGTAAAACCCGGATAACCCCCAAATTCCATGACAGATGTGAAAGAAGAGGGAGACCATGAGAACTATTAATGACTTAATGAAAGCTGGAAAATCCAGCTTTCCCAAAAAAATTCCACTACAATCTGCCTCTCAAGGCACTCACAGTGCCACTGGCAACCAGGCAACAAACTAAAATTTCCTATAAATCCAATAAAAGCCAGGAAAATGCACCTGAAAAAGAGGTGTCCCTGAGATCCCAGAACCGAGGACACAGATATCATCATTCCTCAGGACACAGATCTTTCCTCTCGGACTACTTTATTTGGCAAAACTCTGAAATCAGCAACAGCTTAAACCTTCCAGAACTTTCCCCCCTGAGCAAGGCATGGATCCTATGGAGAGAGAGTTATCCTGCTCGGCTCCAGCCTCAGCTGCTCCTCAGCTTTGATTCCTCTTCCAAAAAACCACAAGGAATCAAAAAAACCCCAAACCAGGATCAAACGCGAAACCAGAAGCCAAAACAAGTAATAAAATATCTAAGTACACCAGGGAAAAGGGAATCGAGGCAAGGGCGTCAGATCCCAGTGGATCACCCAAGGAAAGGGACAGTTCTGGGCCCAACCAATTCCACAGAACTCATGATGACTGACACCTCCTCCCCAAATTCCTGAAAAGCTGCTTCCCCTGTGAGATTCCGTCCCCCTCTGGCCGCTGCTGCCAGTGTTGGGCACAGCTGGGGAAGGATTCTCTTGCTCCATGTGGAGGGTAGGGGCAGGGAACAATCCCGAGTCCTGCTAATGGATCCGGGTCAGCTCCTCTACGATCTTTATCAGGTCATCCACGGTGGCTTCCCTCTTCATCCCACTTCCGTCATCGATCTGCACAGGGAGGGAAAGGCATTGGAGACATTGGGAGGTGCCAAAAAACATTTCCAGATCATTCAGGAAGGTGTGGATTTAGCACTTCCCCAGAGAGGCTGTGGCTTCTCCATCTCTGGAAGTGCTCCAGGCCAGGTTGGACAAGGCTTGGAACAATTTGGTCTAGTGGGAGGTGTCTTTAAGTCCCTTCCAACCCATACCATTCCATAACCCTACAATTCCATGATTTACTGAGCCTGGATTCCTGAGCAAGATCCTTGAAGGATCCAATGCCACATTCCCAAGCTCACCTGCAGGTTTGCCACCACTTCCTGCATCTTGGGCCTGCTGATGTCCAGGAAACTCTCGATCAAGTCTCCATCGATGAATCCTGTGGCTGGTTCCGTCTTCCGTTCCGTGTGGAACGATCTCCAGGTGCTGCTGTCAAGGAGCCAAATCCACAGGGAATAACACCCTGGACATGGTTAAAATGGTGGGATGTCAGTGCTGGGTTAATGGTTGGACTCTGTGGTCTCAGAGATTTCCCAACTTTAATTCCATGATTGCTCAGGGCAATGGCAAACCCACTCCCACCCTCTCCAGCTGGTAAACTCCACCCAGCACAAGTTGCTGGCTGGAATGCTAAAGGATATAAGGAATGCTCAATCTTCCCCACGCTCTTGATGACTTTGTTGAGCCTGTTCTGCATGTCCAGGAGCAGGTTGTACCAGCTTTCCGACAGGGATGTCACCAGGCCTGCATGGGAATAACGGTCATGGGAATGTGGCAGGGGGTGGATCCAGATGAGCTTTCCAACCCAAACCATTCCAGGATTCTGCAGGGAATCCTCAGCCCCTGCTCCTTACCGATCATTCCATTGACAGTGCCAAAGAGCACGGATCCCTGGGTGGGCGTGGAGGTCTCTCCCAAGTTCTGCATGACCAGGGATCCGTGGCAGAAGACATTGACGAACTCTCCCAAGTGGGATAATCCCACTTCCTGCAGGTGCTGCCGCTCCTCATCCGTCGTGGCCGCGCTGGAATCCCGAACACCACTCAGTCCCAGATGGGGGCACTCCAAACTTTCCCTTGCTCCCAAAAGCTGGGAATGCTCCTCCAGTTTTCCCAAAGATCCATCCCATTATCCCATCCCTCCCAGCTTATGCTGTCCCATCCCATCCCATTCCAAATCCATCCCATCCAGTTTACCTGTCCTTCTGGCACACAAACAGATTGAAAGCGTTCTCTGCTCCCAAGAAATTGTCATCATCCAGGATCTCCACAGCACTCATCCAGTTTGGATTGAAATCCCGGGCAATCTGGAAGGGGCCAAGAAGGGACACGCTGTGTCCAGGTGGCCTGGCCTGGAATCCTGCATCCTCATCCCACTCAACACCAATATTCAGGAGCGAGGTGGGATCCAGCATGTCCCTCTCTGCTCCAGGAAGCAGCTGAGCAGGAAAGGCACTCCTGGAGATGGTCCTAGTCCAAGTGGCACTTGGAAAAGATCCTGAGAAAGCGCAGAGCAGCCTATGCCAAAGCCACTCGAGCAATTTAAACCCCCATTCCAAGTGGACACCAGGCATCCCAGATGGCACCTCCTACCCACCAGGCACCAGCTGCTCTTCCCACAGCCAGTTCCCTGGAAACTGAGGGATCCATTCCTCCAGAAACCACAGGGATCCATGTCAAACTGTATCCAGTCAAGCCAAACTCCTCCTTTTATCCCCTCCAACACCATTCCCTGTGCCCAGAGCTGTTGGAATTGATGCCTGGCACCGCTTCCTTACCTCCTCGAAATTCCCTTCCATGGGTTTGTAGGCCAGGAGCAGCACAGAACGCATGAGGTCTCCCACCAGGATGAAATCCCCCTTGGTTTTCAGGTACAGGGCCATGATGTTGTTGTAGTGGTTGCACTCCGTGCGCAGCTCCTTCTCCGCTGTCCACTCGTACAGACGGACCTGTGGGATGGGACACGGATTGGGATTCTCCACACGGGAGCTGGGATATGCTCCTCAACAGACATCTGGCTGACATCCAGATCCACGAGCACGCTCCTAAAAATAAGCCAGGGCTTTGCTTACTGTGCTGTTGATGCTGGCTAACAGCTTCCCGTTGAATTCCACCATGGAATACACAGCTCCCTTGACCTCCTTCTCAGCCAGGCTCTGCAGCTTCCCTGGAATAAAGCCAGGCATTACTTGGGTTGTTTATCCAAAGAGTGGGAAGTCAAGGGGGTTCAGCCGAGCCGGCTTGAATTTTGCTTCCTAAAAAAATGTCTCTGAGGGGGACAAGTGACACGGAAAGTAAATCCCAGAATCCAGGGCTGGTAAGGGATTCTTGGGCGTCTCTAGGAGACAGGGGGAAAGGGAACACAGCATCTACAGATCCTGACAACAGATTCCTTGGGAAAAACTATCTGCTCCTGTGACACAAGCTCTCTGGGGTTTGAGGAGTTCATCCCTGATCTCCCACCAAAAAAGCTGGATTTTTCCAGGTGAGAAGACCTTGTTCTTACCATCGGAGTAGTGGAAGACGACAATCCGGCCCTGCTTGGGCTCCGCTTCCTCAGGATACACCATGGCAGTGCCCACAATGAAGTAGGTGTTGGGATCCTTTCCCAGCTTGCAAGAGACCAGGCTGAGGGCATACTCATTTTGCAGGAATTGGTGAGCATGGAGCACTGGGGGGGGGAAAAAAAAGTGGGAAAGGTAGGAACAATTAGGATCTTCAAGTCCTTAAACTCAAAGCTTAAGACACATCCTAGAGATTCCCTGCCCTATTCCCCACCACCCTGAGCCATTAAAAATTGTTATTCCCTAAAGCTTATGGCTGATTTTCCTCCAGAAAAATGCTTTGGCAGAAGCTCCCCATGGCTTCTCCAGGATGGAAAAGGCTGGATTTTGGGATGGGACAGGTACCTTCGAAGGTGTGCTGGTCTATGATGAGCAGGTTGTGCACTTCCACCTCCTCTCCAAAGGATGTCTCATGCGGAGCTGTGCTGCTGGAAAACAGCTTGCTGGTGCTCACGCTGCTGGACAAGGCCTGGGAACA